GAATTATTCTTTCTGCGCTAGTAATTGGAAACTGTTGACTGGGAAATGCAGCTGCATCGCTAATTACTGTCTGCATAAGCTTTTTTCCTTTCGAAGTAAAGTTTCGCTTTCTTTAGCTAAATCTTTTGGAGTAAACCAGCTATTCCCTTGATGTATTTTTATATGAGCTGCTGTTTTGCTATCTAGTGATTCCATCAATTTGTCTGCTACAATTAATTCATTTAAAGATTCAAAATCTTCAACTTTTCTTAATTTGCAATAGTAATCCCATGCCGCTCTTAATCTTGAGGCAAACTGTATATGGGTTTCATTTCGGAACCGTTTAGCTTTTATAAAATTGTCTATGCATGCATCTACCGTTGGTTCAAATTCCCTTAGAACGATTGACCCATTCGTAATTACGCATTTCTTCGCTTTTAACATAGGTTAACAGATTCATTGCTTTTTCTCCCAGTATATGAAGTAATATTTCTACTTTCATTTCGGTAGGGATGTTCTTAATTTCAAAAGCTTTTTCTAAAGAGGTGAAGAATAAATTCCAGGTTTCTGCACGTAGCGGTACGAAAATTGTCAATGCCCGCACACTTTAAATCATATCTTCTAATGTTAACTTTCTTTCTACATCGGAATTCCTACTTGTATTACTTTGGACATGAGCCAGTTCTAATTGATTATCATGCACTAATTTTAATTTCTCTAGTTCCAGAGTTCTATCCTCTCATCTAAGCTTATCTGAGACCTGTGCTTCTTAAAGTTTCTGTACCGAATTCCGGATCATTCTCACATTCTTGAACTTTGTAAAATAAAGTTTTCTTAGATCCGCTACTGTTGAGCTAGGAGTAGCGACAGGTACTGCGAGTTAGAAGTAGCCTGACTTAATTCTTCCGGGACAAATATTAAATCTTCTTTTCTTATTCCTTTTACAGCAAACATTTTATCTTATTTTCATGCAATTAGAGAAGAAATCAAAAAAGTCAGATAAAAATTGCTACCTCTATCTTCTTGATGACGCTCACCACGACGACAAGTGACCCCCACTCCTGACACCAATGTGATGATGGATTTTGAAAGGTTCTGTAATTTGCATCCGTGTTGTTAATCCAATAATGGGACTTCTTTCTTCTCATACATTATTTTATTTCTATATATATAAGAGGTATTAATTAGATTACAAAATATTTACATAAGATTAACATTAAAGTCAATTGAAGAGTACGCACTTGCAGATTATCGTGTAGTCCTATTAAGACATACGGTGAGTGCACGGCTGCGATAATCGTGTATTCACCTCCGATGCTGTCCAAACCCTAACTTGCTCTCCCCTGCTGCAATCAATCGTCAGAGGGAGTTGTACAAACATTTTCCCTCGAATACCAGGGAGAGGGAGGTATCAGACATTACACCTTGGTTATCCCCTATTTTGAAATATACTATAGCCCTGTTATAGCGACAGACCACCACCCGCCAAACACCGTGGTGGGAGCTGTTTTTCTCGTAGACAGACAGTAATAATTTTAAACTTTCTTCTGAGTTATTTTACTTAGAAATTAGAGACAAGATGATAAGTCATTTGATCGCCTTTGTGGGTCTAACATTTAGAATATGATGGATTAGTACTATTTGGAAAAAGATTAGGAACTAAACTATTGTGCTGATTTCTGCTGTATTGCAAAAGGCCTCCACATCTGTGTGTGTCTATAGAAATATGAAGGAGGTATAAAAGAAATCAGAAGAAAATATTTGGTTTTGCTACCTGAAGAAAAAAACAGTTGCTCAGTACAAACGCTATAATTTTTTATTTTCATGGGAACTGACATTTCTGAACAAAAAAAAGTAGATAAAAGATGTATTTATTCATATTTATGTGTAATAACGTTAATCACATATTCATTAATTTACTTCAAAAGTTTCTTTATATTCAAAACCTGTTTCATTATTTTTAAAAAGATAAAAATTTGGACTTACGGCTCTCGAACGTTCATATTATCCATCGACTCCAACCTTCAGCAAACCTTGTCAGTAGTCAACGCGCGAACGACATTTTTACAACTTTGAAAATGTGCGCATAGCGTATGTTGTAATTAACCATTCATTAATTTTAAATTAATAATTAATTGTAATCAATTTTATTACATTTAAAATCCATATACATATAAAACTGAATAATTAAAAATATACCTTGTAAATTATATGCACATTTAATTAGAAATTTTCTTTTAACTCCTCAAGCATTCACTAATAAAAAGTACTTCAAATCACTACTAATCATAGAAAAAATCAGAAGCTATAAATCATATCTTTATTCTGGATATGATTTCTACAGGGAAATAAAATTTAAATAACCAAGAATGATACATATAAGTATTAAACAAAATACGCATAATTTATGAATGCAAAGATTTATATGTAGCATGCTTAGCAAGCTTAAGTTCTGATTTTGAGAATGTTTTTTTTATAACACAGTTCTTCATTTGCCTGCATATTTATTTTTTCAATCAAAACTGCTTCAAGAGTTTTAAGACCTAAATTTGGTCGAAATTCCGTCTGATTTTTTTTAACAATAGAAAAAATTCTTTCGCAAGCTGCATTTGAATGAGGTATTATTAAGACAGCAAGCATTACAGAAGGCAATACTTTGTATTTAATACACCCATTCATATTTTTTAATTTGGCAATTTCTCCCCATGCTATATCAATACGCAAATCTACAATTTCTTTCAAATCATCTACTTGATACATGGAAAATTCAATTTCTACTTGATTAAGACATTTTTCATCAATAATGGATGGAAAAGTATTCATCAAGTAAAGAACAGATGAAAATGAGACTTCAGTTCTCAAGTTGATGTCAGCAACTTCAGCATGTTTTAGAAATGGATCACTCAGTGGAAATTTATCAATTATATATGAACATGCAGTTACAAAAAAAGCTCGCACAGAATTGAAAAATGATTTCACTTCACTTTCATTCAACTTGGCATTTTTTAAATATAGTCTTGTTTCCGCACCAATCACTAAATTTTCATTTTCTTTTTGTTTACTATACTTCTGAAATGGAATAGACGTTAGAGTAACATCTTCATTTTCTTTAGAAATTACTGATGGTTTTACGAATCTAACAAATAAATTCATTAAAAGTTCAAAAAGTTCTCTTCTCAATTTATGTATATAAGGAGCTTGTTGTTGTTGCAAATTAATATTTACTGTTATAAACAAAGGCAAAGTATTTTTCAAAAATAACAAGTACAATTTGGTGGTCGGTGACTGTAAAATTTTTTTAATGTTTTGCAATCTCTTTCCTTCATTCTCACTGTTATCTGGTTTATCTCCAAAAAAATTTATCACAGCATCCCACTGTTCCAAAATCCTTGTTATAGATTCTAAAAGAGACAACCATCTCGTACTGCAATATTTCAAAATTTTATGAGATTTTGCATTCTGTCCCAAAATTTGTTGAGCAACTTTGAAGCTATGCTTCCGTTTCGAACTTTTCTCCAAGTATAAATATATGTATCTATTAACAACATTTCGATTTCTGAGCCAATGAATTTTTCGGTAGCCTTTTTTGCAGCTATATGCAAGAGGTGGCATGGACAACCTCGGGTGATTATACTTGGTTGATGCATTTTGATAAATGATGCTACACCTTTAAACTTTCCAATCATATTACTAGCATTATCTGAAGAAAATGATAAGCAATTTTTCCATTCTAAACCTTTGTTTTTTTAAAGTTTTCATTTATACAATTAAAAATACCTTCTCCTGTATTATTCGTGCATTCTAAAATAGAAATCAATGAAGTAATTATCACTCCCTTTTCTTTACTGTAGTATGTTATAACCAATGGGTACAGTTTGTTATCATTGTTATCATTACTTCCATCAGTACTTAGAGAAAATGATGTACTGCACACTGATTTTATAATATCAGCAACAGTATTTTCTGCAAGCGTTTTCACAATAGCAGCAGTTTTGGTATGACCGCAGCTAAATTTTTTTGCTATGGCAGAATCCGGAAACATTGCTTTGAAAAGCTCTTTGGAATGATCCGAAACAGAAAGCGGTAGATTATGTTCAATTAAAAAACGAACAAAATAGCATTCGGCTTTTATAGGATCTGTTTCATCATCTTTTATTAAGAAATTTGTTATTTCTTTAGATTTTACGGTGCCAAGTTCTATATGCTTTTGAGAGAGAAAACACATGCCGTTTACAGTCATCTTTTCCGCCATGAGCAACTGAGAAGTCTTTGTTGCATACACTGCAGTGTGCGTGATTCACAGAAATTTCGGACGCTTTAATGCATGGAAATTCTGAAGAATATGAATCTTTAAACTTCTGCTTTGATAATTTTGGCTTCTTCGTTCGAGGCAGCATTATGATTAAAAATCTTTCACAGTTCACAAGACACACGCTAAGCTCTCGCCGTAAACTACACAATGCAGCCGAATGCAGCCAAAAACGCATCAGCGAGGAACCTGGGAGACAGACAATTGGGTGGAACTATTGATAAGTCGTTAACGGTTGGAGTTACTGATCTACGATTGGCTAATTCTTCAAAACTAGGAACGCACTCAACACGTGATATATGATAACACGAGTATTCAGCAGCCAATCATCGGATGAATTGAATTAGTTGGTTCCGTTTTGCGTACTGGTTCTCCTGCTCTTGTTTCTGTAAAATCCGTAGTTTTTTCCATACTTTTCGTAGCTCGTAGTTTTTCATGAATTTCCGTAGAAACTACGGAGAATCCGTAGTAGTTGGAGTCTATGTATTATCTACCATGTGGCTCCCATCATCTTCAAGTTTGTCCATCCTTGCTTTACAGTGTCATCATATTTGTTATGTGAAATTGTATTATAAATTTGCTATGTAAAAAAGTGAATTCTGTGATATTGAATGTATTTTGGCTGATTTTTTACTATGATATATTTAAATCGATTAATTTATATGTGCTTCAAATCAGTTACCTTTTATATTTTATTTGTGTTCTGTTTTAGAATGAAAATCTATTATCTTTATGTGAAAGAGATCCATCTAGAAATGAAGGTCATCCTTCTGATGTAAATAAGGATGTATCACCAAAAAATGAATCACATGACTCTCCTGAAGAAAATTCAGCTAGTGATTCAGACTCCGATTCAAGCTCGGGATCAGAATCTCAGTCAGGCAGGTCTGGGTCTGATTCAGGATCAGAAGGGGAAAAATCAAATTCTGATAACAAATCGAAGAAAAGTTCAAATTCTGGCTCTGATAGTGGTGGATCCAACTCTGATAGTGAGTCAGGATCTGAATCAGAAAGGTAAGTTAAGTATTTGCTTTTTCAATAAACATAACAAAAGTTTTGTAAAGTACAGTGTAATTTTAATGAAGTATATTTTCTTAGAGTTTTCCAGTTTAGGTCAAAACTCTTATCAGTTTCAAGAGTGATCAGACACAGGATCCTTATCTTCTGAAGCAAATAAATTTTACAAAAACATTTTTGCTCCTAAAAAAGAAACAGTTGTTTTAAATGTCTTCAAAGCCAAAAATTGCATGGATTGATGTTTGGGGATCGGGCAGGCCACACATTGCAAAAGTGCTATCTGGTTTGGTAAAACATTTTTACTAACAAAGTGCAATCTCGTGAACCTTATCATTAGCAACAAGCACATTGAAAACAAAGTCTACATGAATGTTTCTAGGTTTTACAACAGCAGCTTCATGACGTCAGAAAAGATTTCCAATTTTGCTACATGTCTTCAAAGTAAAAAGCCATCTGGTGATGTCATTTGCAATTATTTTTTCCCCCCCTCAAAAAAATTCTCATCTCTTCATTAAGTCTGCCTCAAAATTTCACAATTTTCTGATCACTGGTTTCACTTGTAGGCAGCTTTGAAATATGGTTCTTTAATTATAGATACCCGTACATCTAACATTACCACAAAATATTTTTTTTTAAACAAAAATATCCCATTACTATTTCATTGGGAAATTATGGGAGGTTTTTAAGTTTTCATTTTATTTCTTCATGTCTTTATGAATTAGGCTCTAAATTTCTGGGTTATAATTATTACATTATTCGATAAGAGATTCATATTATGTAGCCTTCTGCAAAGGTAAGTCTGTGAATATGTTTTTATGTGAATAAAACCATATAAATGTGTGTATGTGTCCTGAAAAATTATTTTTAATGCACAATGTAAATGAGTTAGTAACTGTAACTTGATAATCTGAGTTGAGTGTTTTTTTTTTTTTTTTTTTTTTTTTTTTTTTTTTTTTTTTTGTGTGTGTGTGTGTTTGTTTGTTTTATGTGTGTTTCGGCAAAAATGGTGATATATCCTACTGATCAATTCATAAATTTTATAAGATTTTTTTTTTTCCTGTCTTTAGGGAAAGTATAGCATCTTCAAAAGAGAAAAAGATTGCTGAATCAAATTCTGAAAATGAATCTGCTCCTAGTGAAGGCGATGGGGATAATAAAAGTTCTCCTGATAATACTAGCGTAAAACCACCAAAACATAGCGACATAAAACGTTCTCCTAAAGGCAAAAAAGATTTAGATGACTTAAAACATGTAATAATTGTTTTTTTATTATAAATTTGTTAGATCCTGTTGTCATTTTTTCATTCCATTTTATTGCCTATTTAATAGAAATGATTTAGTAACTGTAGCTTAATTGATAGTCAAAATTTATGTGATTTTTTCCCTAATATGTGCATTTAATTAATTTGAACAAAAAGTTTTTTTACAATGAATGTAGTCTAAATTTTTTGTGCTTCATATTTTAAAGCTTTGGGAAGAAAACCCTGAAGAATTTGGAATTAGGCGATCAGGACGTTCCAGAAAGGAACCTGAGAGATATACTATAGGAGAGGTAGAGAAATCCATTGTTATGCGCAGCAGAAATCCTTTAAAAATTCACATTTTTATGACTCTCTTACTGCTTAGTAAATTTATGTATTAGAAGTATTTTTATTTAGCATTATGACTGTTTTTTGAAGGAATGCCTAATTTAGAAAAATTTAATTAAAAACTCATTATTTTCCTTTGTTCCCTCTATACGATAAATAATGCTAGTGATCGGAAATACATTAAAATATTCATTATGAGTATTGTTTATTTCTTAATTGAACAGTAGTGAAAAATCGCATTAATATGCTATCAAATAATCATATACTTGTACTTTAATGTGTATCATATACATTTCCCATTTTTTGTAAAATTTGAGTTCCTTTTTCATTTTAGTTTTAAATAAGAATTTTCTTGCAAATAATTTATTGTATTATCAATGATATTTAAAATGAATCATAAGTTGTTCTTATTAGTATTTCAATAGTATATATTTTTGAATAGCTTTGAAACAAAAGGTTATTTTACTTTCAGTTTTAATACAGAATTAAACTTGAAGCAGTGTTTAGCTGCCATAATAATATTTAATATACTAATATTTTTGCTGTAACTTTGTAGTGTGATACTATTACATAATTAATTTGATATTTTATGTGATCATCAAACAGTTTTACTTATACTTTTTAGCAGGGATGTGGAGTTGGTAGGGAAAATGACTGACTCCGACTCAACTCCCTCTCATACATATATGTGTGTGAACATATACACATGGGTTACAGCTTATTTTTTTAATATAAAAGAAGTAATAGATGCTACAGAAAAAAAAAAAAAAAAAATGATGGCATACCAAATAATTTCTATTAATTAGCATTTATTTTGAAATGGAAAAACTGGCATTAGTTATTTCTAAGAAACAGTATATGCTGTTACTGTTAGGGCTTTTTCTTTTAACTTTTGAGGATAGATATGTTAAAAGTTCTAAAAGGGGTGTCTTGCAAGCACAATGATATTTCTCTGTTTCTTCAAAGGCCATATAGAAATCCTGTTTGTATTTTTTCATTTTTATATCTAAAGGCTCCTGGTTCTTTACTTTCATTCGCTTTGCTTTAGCCTTTTCAATATTATCCAAAAATATTTCTCAAAATCTAATTCATCTTTGGATGAGGATGATAGAGACTCAGTTGCAATGTCTGCAATTTGACTGTCCTGATTCGAATTCTCCAATTGTTCTGAAAATAATTTCATTCTTAATGAAAGTTCATAGATGACTTTCTTTGCCTTTTTAATTTGTTCTTCATCCAAGAAAATTCGGTTTTTCAGATCTACATATATTGAACACAGCAAGATCTCATTGTCTAGCAAACTAGTTTCTCTTTTCTGCATTGAAGAAATGATTCCTTTAGGCAATAAACCCTCCATTTCAGAAAGAACAAACATCACATTCTTCCATTCTAGCCTCCTGTCAATTGTTCAGACTGCACCATTTTTGTGGCTATATATGGTGTAGAAAGAAGAGTTTCCAATTCTGCAAGATCATTCCAAGCAACCTCTTTATCATCAAATATGTACATCTTTATCACGTTGCTTGATCAGTAATTGCTCCTTTTCCTGCTCGCTTCCTAAGAATGGCATCAATTTTAGGAGTTCTTGCTGCTATTGGGGGCCTACCTAAATTTACCAGTGAGATTTGTAACTAAAATGAATCAATTTAATCACTAATGGCAAATATCACATTCCTTATATTTATCCTTATCCTCTTCCCTTATATTTAATTATTAATACATCAATAAAATAGAAAATAACTATTTATTAATGTGTATAGTTCATAAATAAAAATATCTCAGCTTGTCATTATTTATTTTTTTAAATTCATTCTAATTTCATTTCAAATTTAACGTGTCCAACAAAAATTGAAGTCTGAGTTAGTATCGACCTGTTCTTAGCGACTCCAGCTCCAACTCCTTTTACCCCAAAATCTGCCAGGCTTTGACTCCACAGCCCTGCTTTTTAGGAGAATTGCATATTTATATAATTTTATTCTTCTTTCCTTTTCTATTTTATTCATCATAATATATATTGTAATATTTTCTTAGGATTCTGAAGGAAGTGACAGTGGTAGAAAACCAAGTGATTCGAGGACAGCGAAACAGCGCTCTAAAAGAAAAGAGTATGTTATATTAATGCCAAATGATTTATTTGCAAAATATTAAATTTTGCTATGTGCATGTCATTCTTCATTTTAATAGTCTTCTGTATTTCAAGGAGTAGCGAGATGTTATTTTAGTAGTCACTTCAAAACAAGACAACATTTTAAGCTTTCTTGAGCTACTCCCTTTTTAAAATACTGGCTGATGAATATTATGTTATACAGTCAAAAGTCGTTAATTCGGACACCCATAATCCGGACCTCAAAGCTAAAAACTTTCTGCACATTCGTTTAGGCGTTTACGCGTGCGCGTTAGAGCTTTACGACTGCGCATATGCGTGTGCGCAAGCGCAGAATACAATTTTGTGTGCGCGTTTAATGTATAACGGACGATATAAGCTAAAATTATCTAATTATCTATTTCAGTTAATGTTGTTGATTGCGTTGTTCCTTAACCCCTTCACGCCTGGTAGCGTAAACGGGTGCTTATCGCAGAGGCCGGCAGTGTCTTACGCGAGTGTCTGTCCATTGCCGGGGGCTTCTTTGCTACTAAGCCTAAATCCATGAAATTTCCGAAGTATCAACACATTGTTTAATAATGCTCTATAGAGTATTTAAACGGCTTATGCTTTATAGATATTTTTATACTATATACTTTAATTACCTTATTTCTTGTTTAAATGCATATTTTACACATTTTATTTTCATTACTCACCATTTTATGACTTTTAACATTATACATCTGAAAACTAAATATATTACTTAAAATTCTCTTTTCGTATGAAAAACTTGAAAACAGGAATCTACACACAGTCCTACGTTACATTCCTTGCACTCGTAATAACTCATTTGCCGTTTTGGAGGATTTTTCCGGAAATGTGAACAAACGAAGCATCGTTGTCTCATTTTCTTATCAGTCTCTTCTGAACAAAGTTTTGAAAAATGTCTTTCAGTTAATCTTTCAGAATCAATATCTGAAATATTTTGCATCATTTCTGCTATTTCATGCTCTGTTAAACATTTTCGATGCTTCGACATTGCAACGGTAAAAACAGAAAGAATTCATGTCTAACAAGATCTAATTATTTTCTAAAAACTGAACTGCAAAGCGAAATACCCAACGCTTTAGCGCAAATAAAACTTCTCTACTTACAATAAACAACTACCACGTGCGAATAAAGTGCGATTTAAAGAGACGTCATAAATCACGCCATTCAGAAACATTTATTTCCCCGTTTGTTTATATAATCAAAAACACGTGTATGTGAGTCATGCGTCTCTCATTTCAAATAGAAGGGCTAATGTACATGTATCTGAAACCATATGGACATACAGTGCCATCTTGTGACAGAAATTATAGTTTTAAAAACGTTCCAGGAGACTGGCACAAATACGTGACAGTCGGCGCTCAGCGGGAAAACGCTCTGGTACGCCTGCGTGTCGGCCGGGAGGTGAGTGTATTCGTTGCTGTCACGTGGACGTGACCGTCGGCGCGAAGGGGTTAATCTTCAAATTGGATGCGGCTTATTATTTTTTGCAGACTGTAAGAGCAATTTTATAAAAGTAAACTTGAACTTTCGATTATGTCAAACAGAATTTCCGATGCTGGAGCTCCCAAAGGATCTACAAAATGAAAGTATGTTTCGATGTCCATCAAAAAAAAGGTGGAATTGCTGCAAAAAATGGATAAAGACATGAAGAAGGTGACAGAGAGGTTAGTGAAAACGAAAAAATTTCTATTGACAAGTTAGTCGGTATTCTCGGCACAGCAATTACAGGACTTGAACAGCGGAACTTTGTAACTGAACAAGAAATTATGTCTGTTTATAGAATTAAAGAGAAAGTATTATCACATAAAACGAAGCAACTTAAATGTTTAATAAAGTAAACAAATAAATATTAAGCGCTTTTTTTTTTTTTTTTTTGTAAATTTTGATACCTTTTGGATCATAATTGTTCTTTATTTCATAAATTATGGTTTCATGTTTTTAATTTTATAATTTCTGCATGCCATCTTGCCAGATTTAAACTGATGATCTATAATCTGGAATCGCTAAAGTCCTGACGAGTCCAGATTAACGACTTTTGACTGTATCAACTAGAAACTAATATAATATATATATTTCAAAAGAATATAGTAAAGTTAAATTAAATTTAAATAATTCTCTTGTGCAATTGCTGCAAGGAATGAAATTTGAATTTAACAAACATTCTTTATTCGTAAAAAGCAAATTCAAAGTTAATTAAATTTTAAATGAAATTGAATTACAAGTAAATGATTAGTTATTGCTGTGAACTAATCTACAATATTATTTAAATTCTGGGAGCATATGTAAATCAAATGCAAGTATCAAAATCTGTGAATGAATATATAATTCCAATAAATTTTTTAATCCTAAAATTTTTTTTTAAATGCATAAGCAAGTAATTGTTCAGCCTCCAAACCTAACTTTTCAATTATTGATTTCGTGTTTCGTCATCCCTGTAGGCAAGGGCAAAAGGAAAATTCAAAACCAAAAAGTGAAACCAAATGTTGTGAATTACTAAAAAAAAAAAAAAATTTAAACAAGTGGAATTTTGAGAAATTAGCAAGTAAAGACAAGAATCAAATTGTCAATTAAGTCAATTAAGAGTAGAAAACCAAAGTAATTTAGAAACTCTTGCCTAAAAAAAACTTCCCCCCAACATGAATTATGCATATAAATAAAAAAAAAAGAAACTAGATACTATTTATAAAAATACAGAAGTAATACTAAAAAGGCAAGTAAATAATAAGTTTTAATTTAACTTACCAACAATATTTGTATTTGGAGAATGGAGCAGCATGCCAAACTAAGTGATGTTAAGCAGTGTGTTTCTTCTAACTTTAAAAATAGAAGGCACTAATATAAGGTTTAGTTGAGTATTAAGCTGCTATCTATTAGATTTATTTTAAAAACCTCTTCTGTAAACTTTTCCATAATGTAAAATGTGTGTACTGTGGTAGAAAAATTTTTTGCTAACTGTGAAGTGCTGTAAAAATGTGTAAAAAGACGGTAACAATACTAACTGCAACGTAATGTGAAAAAATGGTTGCAAATTATTAAGGATTGTAAAAAATCGGAAATGTTTTTGAAATAAAGTACAAAAAAAAATTTTTGAAGTAAAATTAATTTTAATTTTGAAAAAAAAATTTTGCAGTTTTTAATTAAAGTAAGAAATTTATTGTAATAGTCTTAATTTGTTAAAACTGAATTTCAACAGGTTTAATCAAAACTTACTAAATACTGGCAAAATGTAAGGAAAATTAGAAAAAGATAAAAATCTTCACTCAATTTGGGCTATAACTGAGATTTGAAAAAGAGTTGACTCCCTTTTTTAGTAAAAGGAAAGAACCTAGTATTGATTACATACATTTTTACAAATATTTACAAGATAATCCCTTAACTCTTCAAAATCCTCCATTACCCTCCAATTAAGGTTAAAGGTAATGTTATCATACCATAAAAAAAATTATGAAGAAAAGTTAATGCCTGCCTTTTTAATATATAAATTAATAAATTGAGTTGGGACTTCACTATTAACTTGAACATTAATTAGCTTTATTATTTCTTCCTTTAAATCTTCTATTTCAGTATACATATTTTTTATTCTGATTATTTGGCAATAACATACCTGCCAACTTTTACGAATTTTTCGTAATTTTTACGATCGGCATTTTTTACGATTTTTTTTTCCTTTTTCAAGTGTTTTTAGTGATTTTTGTCGAAATTATAGAATTTTTCGCCAATTGCATTGTGTTTTACGGCCAACTACCGACTACTTCGAATCCAGCAACCTGCAATAAAAATACTATTTTTATAAATAGTATCTATCTCCCAACTCGCCGCTTAACCAGCCAATCCAATGCGCTGAACTTGTTTCTCCCACTCTTTTCTTTGTGGGTGCCAGATTATTTTTTTCGCGTTCGCTTCAGCAGCAAGAGAATTACTCAGCTCGGACTCAGCAAGCGTGGATTGTCGCATTCTGTTTTTTGTTTGTTTGTTTGCACGTGCTACGGATTTTCTTATGCGTCTTTGTTACGAAAGGAGTTCAAAAAAACCGTATTCTCAATACTTTCGGCCTGCCTACAAAGCCGAATTTCCAACAATTAAAGAATCCTTCAAAGGAAATAACTATGCATTTTGCAACGTGTGCGTGTGTGACTTCACAATAAGTCACGGTGGAAGAAGCGACATTGTGAAGCATGTTAAGTCTAAAAAGCATGAAGTAAAATGCTTCGGCTTCGACAACGTCAAAGAAAGTGGATGATTTTTTTTTTTTTTTTTTTTCAAATTCGGCTACGAATTCGGATGCCGATGTCATTTTGGCAGAGTGTTTGTTTACTGCATTCCTCATCGAACACAACGTGCCGCTAAGCGCTGCCGATCACGCCAGTCAACTTTTCAGACGGATGTTTCCCGACTCCAAGATTGCTCAGAAATATGCTTGTGCTCGCACGAAAACATCTTTTATTGTGAACGAAATTTTTTGCGATGCACAAAGTAAAACGATAGGTGCACTCCAGAATTCAGCATTTTCGGTGTCAATCGATGGCAGCAACGACAGCGATTGGAAGCTTTACCCCATCGTAGTCACATATTTCTAAAGGGAAAGCCAACACACAGAAAAAACCCTTTAAAAAGAAAATGCTTAGAAGACTCCTCAAAGGTCAACTTTGTTAAAGAAGTTGAAGGGAAGAAGAAACAGTCTTCTATCAGCCAGGAGGAAAGGATTTTCTATCTTCTTTCTTCGGATTTGAACAAAGCATATTGTTGTTTTGTGTTAAGTACCATTAAGATTTTTGAAAGTGTAAATACCCTTCTACAATCAGCTTCGCCAAAATCTCCCCTGCTTATCCAAATTCTTGAAACAATGATCTTTTGAAAGAAAGCTAAGTTTGTACTTAGTACTACTACTAAGTTTGTAAAACCGTCCGTTGTGAAAAACAGTGTGTTGATTCGTGTTGCCTATAATGGTTTGGCAAATCAAAAGGATGACAATGATCTTATAATTGGAAATCAAACCAAGGAACTTGTAAATTCTTTGAAAGATCATGAGAAAAAAGAATTTTTTCAATGTGTTAGTACTTTTCCTCAGCCTGTGATTACATTGTAAGGAAGTTTCTTTTTCAAAATGAAGTTCTTTTAAATGCTGAAGTGGCAAATATGAAAAAAATTGAAAATTCATCTTTTGAAAAGATTCGTTTTTTTATTGATAAATTTCCATTTTTGTTAACAATTAAAGAAAATGAATGCCATAATGATGCTTTAGATGAATGAATGATGCTTTAGATGAAGAACCAATTTTCTGCTGCACACTTTGAAGACTTTGCCATTTCTGGAGAAGATAGACTTGATGTCCTTGTTGGTACCTTAAAAAGAATAAAAAGAGCTGATGGAACACCAAAATATGATAGACTAGCAAGAGTTTTATGTGCTATTCTCGTAATTCCACACAGTACTGAGTGCGAGAGAGTCATCAGTGTTGTGAAGAAAAACAAAACTATGTTTCGTTCTTCAATTTCACCAAAACTCTAGAAAACATTTTAATTGCTAAATGTTATGAGGAAACTAATTGTTATGACAGGAAATTTTCCAAAGAATTTTTGGCTAAAGCCAAAAAATGCACTCTAAATTCATTGCAATAATTTTTTTGTGTAACATTAAGTTCTTGTTTTATGTTTCCTAATAAATTATTTAGTTACAACTTAATTGAGATATATTAATGTAAGAAAAATTTTCTTTTTTCTATTTGTATAAATTGTTATTTTTTTAATGTCAAAGCATGATATTAATTCTTCGTGTTCTCCTGAATTTGGGGGAGAAATCTTCTGAATTTTTATCTTTAGAGGTTGGCAGGTATGCAATAAAAAGTGTTACCTATTACTTTTCTAGAATGCTTCTAGTGGAATTGCTGCAAAAAATGGATAAAGGCATATCCTTTGATTATCTAATCATTCTGAAATATGTTTATCAATTTCACGCTGCTCTGCGGTGGGAGGGAAACGATGCTGCGTGCAATGAATTGGAAGCTGATCTGTCAGCACTATCCTTATCTTCAGGGCAGATGTTTTTATTTTATTTGGCTTATAATTCCTTACTAAATGTAGTATTTCATCTCGATGTACTCCGCCTTTGATATGATTTAAATCAAGTTGCCAGTATTTTACATGCCAGTATTTCAAAAACTAACAAACCTAGAATGCTGAAATTTTTTTAGAAGTATTTTTTATCTATTTAGGAGAAGTCAAAAAATTCCAAACGATTTCTTCCAATAAAACAAAAGTAATCAATGGTCAAAAGTATTCAGGGGTCAAAATGACCCCTACTACCGTTCTGGTGTTAAGACGTGATAATTCAGTCTAATAAGGTCTACAGGGCTTTAGCTTCCAGTTACAATAGAAGGCCTATAAAGTTTAATTAAAAGATATGTTAGCATCTGAGTTTAATTTCAAATCATTTGGAAAATAAATCACTATAAGCATTAAAGATAAGAGAAGGAGCAGTATTTCGTTTTAATAACTAATAGCTGGATTATATGTATCCATATGCCATTGGAGCTGTTGTGCAATGGTACTGCATAGGATGTTAAGAAGAAAGTTTCTGAAGAAATAAGTTAAATATATGTAAAAATATATATTGGGACTATTTAGTTAAAACAGCTTGATAGAAGAATACAGCAGATCATAATAATACAACAGGTTTTTAATTAAAGAACCACAAAATCAAATAGAATTGGGAAATTAATACTTTTTCTAAAAGGTGGTAAGATAAAAACTACTTTCTCCTCTTAATTTAATTTTTTCAGTGACTAATAAATAGCATTAAGGTAAAATTAAGTATGTTTTATATACAGTCAAAATTCGTTAATCCGGACTCGTCGGGACTTCGGCGATTCCGGATTATAGATCATCAGTTTAAATCTGGTAAGATGGCGTGCAGAAATTCTAAAATTAAAAATGTGAAACCATAATTAATGAAATGAACAATTATGATCTAAAGGGTATCAAAATTTACAAAAAGAAAAAGCTTAATATTTATTTGTTTACTTTATTAAACATTTTTTTCAATGTAAGTTGTTTAAGTTGCTTCGTTTCAGGTGATAATACTTTCTCTTTAATTCTATTAAACAGACATAATTTCTTGTTTAGTTACAAAGTTCCGCTGTTCAAGTCCTATAATTGCTGTGTCGAGAATACCGACTAATTTGTCAGTCAAAATTTTTTCGTTTTCAATAACCTATGTGTCACTTTCTTCACTATCGGAAGAGATTATAATGTCGAGGAACTTGATTTAAATCATATCAAAGACGGAGTACATGGAGATAAAATACTACATTTAGTAAGGAATTATAAGCCAAATAAAATAAAAACATCTGCCCTGATAAGGATAGTGCTGACAGATCAACTTCCAACTCATTGCGCGCCATGTAGTCCCCCCCCCTCGTAGAGCAGCATGAAATTGATAAACATATTTCGTAATGATTAGATAATCAAAGGATATGCCTTTATCCATTTTTTGCAGCAATTCCGTTTTCTGTTTAATGGACTTCGAAACATACTTTCGCTTTATAGATCCTTTACATATTAGTAAATATATATCGGAAATTCTATTTCACATAATCGAAAGTTTAAGCTTACTTTTATAAAGTTGCTCTAACAATCTTCAAAAAATAATAAGCCGGATCCAATTCGAAGATTAAGGAACAACGCAATCTGCAACATTAACTGAATTAGCTAATTTTAGCTTAGCTTATACCATCCGTTATACATTAAATGCTTATGCGCAGAAATTTTGTAGCTTTGAGGTCCGGATTATGGGTGTCCGAATTAACGACTTTTGACTGTATAATAGGAAAAGGTATCATTTAGAATTTCTGCTTTTTTCAGATTTGTATATTTTTCCTTTCTTTTCAGTTCACAAGAATGGAGAGATTCAGATGATAGTGGTAGTGAAAGTGAGGATGGTACCTATAAAAATAGAAGAGTGCCAGCTAGGAACAGAAGTGCAACTGAAAAAAAAAGAGCTGTAAAATCAAATTCTGATAAGAGCAGGAAAAGTAAACAGCGAAAGAAAAAGCAAAGTTCTTCAAATGATGATGATGACGAATATTATGATTCTGATAGCAATGAAGAGAAGAAAGTGTCCTTAAGACAAACTAGGAAAAAAGTCAGGTAAATTTACTTTTGTCTTTTTCTTGGAGGGATAATGATAGGAAAGATTTAAAAATATAAATTTTTTATACATTGGCTGGGCTCTGAAATGTAAGTTTTATGCATAATGATCATATATTTTGAATGGTCAAAAACATTAGATATGATGGTAATTAGAAATGTATGGTATAATTTTGAGCAAAACACATTATAAAGAAGTGAATTTTTGATCTTGTTAAAAGCATATCATAATACAGAAAAAAGTCTTTAATCCGGACACGTCAGGACTTTGACGATTCTAGATTATAGATCATCAATTTAAATTTGGTAAGATGGCATGCAGAAATTATAAAATTGAAAATATGAAACCATAATTTATGAAATAAAGAGCAATTATGATCTAAAGGATATCAAAATTTACAAAAAAAAAGCTTAATATTTATTTGTTTACATTATTAAACATTTCTTTCAATGTAAATTGTTTAAGTTGCTTCGTTTTTTGTGCTAATACTTTCTCTTTATTTCTATAAACATACACAATTTCTTGTTCAGTTCCACTGTTCAAGTCCTGTAATTGCTGTGTTCAGAATACCGACTAACTTGTCAATCAAAATTTTTTCGTTTTCAATAACCTCTCTTTCACTATCAGAAGCGGTACATCGAAACATGCTTTCGCTTTGTAGATCCTTTGACAGCTCCAGAATCAGAAACTCTTTTTGACATAATCAAAAGTTCAAGCTTACTTTTTATAAAATTGTTCTAACAGTCTGCAAAAAATAATAAGCCGGATCCAATTAGAAGATTAAGGAACAACGCAATCTGCAACATTAACTGAAATAGATAATTTTAGCCTAGCTTATACTGTCTGTTATACATTAAACGTGCATGCGTAAACTCATAATGCGTTTACACATGCACAGTAAGTTTATAGCTTTGAGGTCCGGATTAAAGACTTTGTACTGTAAATTAAAAAATTAAATCTGGCCATTTTGTACACAGAATATCAGTTCCAATATGTGTCCTCTAGGGTTCAAAGATGATAAGATTTGCTGTCAGTGGCATACCAACATTTCTAAAGCTCTATGTAACTGTAGAATTTTCCATTTATGGGTACGATCTGTATTCTCCAGAATGATATTGATTAAAATATACCTCAGTGGCTGAAATGTTACATAAGATCACTCTCTCGGATGACCTACTACTGAACTATGCATTCTTTCCCTGGATACTTTTTATGCCTGCTTAGTTTCTTCCTCCTCTCATGTATAAAAGTGAATACAAATTGATGCATGCAATTTGCCTAAATCAGTTAACCAATCAATCATACTTGGTTGTGTGAAGTTACAGTACTTGGTTTTATGTATTCATAAAATTGTCAAATGAATTCTTCCTGCCAACTTCTAGTCTAGTGAAAGAGGCCCACCAGCGGCCGAGCGGTAAAGTCGCTGAAAACTGGTAGTTCGGTCCGAGGTTCGAATCCCGCGAACGGGCTGGCTGCATGGGTGTTTTCGTGGTTTTCCCCATGTGTAACGTGTATACGAGCCAGTTTCCCTTAGAAAGTCCTCCACGAAAGGCATCCCTCCTCTTAGGCAGATAGCCCTAGTGTGCTTTGCCATAATTAAATACACCACCACACACCTAGTCTAGTGAAAAGGAGAAGGGCATCCTTTGCCTGTAATTTTCTTCAAAAAAAAAAGGGGCAGTCCCATGATGGTGTGATACACGTCCTTGTATATACTTGGAAAGATCTTTAAATGATGTATGCTAGCAGATAGTTTTAGCTGATAGGCTTTGAGCTGTCTAAAGAGGATGTTTGTTTTCAAAAATGCAACTTTTGTGTGCTATTTGCAGCTGAACATGCTCAATTATCTGAATTTCAAATTAGCCCTTCAATATTTGTTGATTTAAACTCTGTGCATTCATTCTAAAGAATGTGAGTGAAACATTAGACCTACGAATCGCAGATCAGCATTTAGATAAGATGAAAACTAAGGTCTCTCAACTTCATTCTCACTAGTGTAAAAGTTTTGCCATGTTTTTTGTTCCTTTATCTATAAAACTGTTTTCTTTCTTATACTTACCTAATGAGTTGTCTCAATTTTTGATTATGTAGTAGGCATTGTTAAAATATTATTTTCATTTGTCAATTTTTACAATTATTAGTAGTTACAAAGAACAGAGTGCAGATGAAACAGATTCAGAAGATCTTATAGAAGTAGAATATGATGAGCAGATGCTGGAAGAAGAAACAGCAGAATGCATAGAAAAAGTTCTTGATCATAGAATAGGAAAAAAAGGAGGTAATTACTTTATTATTATTGATTCATTTTAAATTTTTTTAGCATAATCTATTAATGTTGAGTAAATTTTAAAGTCCAGATTTTTCATAGATGATCTTAATTTTTTTGCTGTCTAGACGGACTTGGAAAAGGTCAGAAATAATTTAATTATTATAATAAAAAAGTAAATAAAGTGTGAAAATTAATATTCATATATTTTGTATTTTAGTTTTAAAGCATTTTTAAAATATTATTTATTATTTTCCTTTAATTTAAATATAAAAAGTTGAATTATTTAATATATGTCATTTAAATCATTGTGGATCTTCTATTAAAAAGCTTTTTTAACGTTGCATTTACATAACTATGTTTAATATTTATAATTTAATTAAGATTTGAACTCGGGTATAACCTTGATGGTACTTTTAAATTTACTCATATTTTGAAGTTAATTTATTTTTACGTATGCATGTTTTTTATAATATCATTCTTATTTCTTATTTTTTTTTAATTGAATTCAAATATTTTATACCTTAGTAATTGAATTTTTCTATATCATGTAAAGTGACCCCCTGGAAGCTTTTCTTATGTCAGCAAAGCATATTTACATTCCTGATATTTAGCTTAGTAACGGAGTTTTTGTTTTTTGTAAACATAACCACAAGATAGACTTTTGTATTAACAGTTTTAAGAAAAATTTGCTTTTATTTATTTTTAGCTACTGGAGCTTCTACTACTGTTTATGCTGTTGATGACTTCGGAAATCCTAATGATGAAAATGCAACAGAAACTGAAGAACAGTTTTTAATTAAATGGAAAGGATGGTCCTATTTGCATAACACTTGGGAATCGGAGGCAACTCTTAAAGAGCAAAAGGTTCAAGGCTTAAAAAAATTGGAAAATTACATTAAGAAACGAGAGGAGATCAAAGAGTGGTATGAAATAATTTATTTTTCCTTACATTGTTAGATTTCTTTTTATTTTCCAAGTATATTAATTTTTCTTAATCTATAGGAAATCACATGCTACACCAGAAGATTTAGAATATTATGAGTGTCAGCAAGAACTGTCTTCTGAAGTACGAGACCAGCACATGAACATGGAAAGAATTATTGGTAATTATCTGCCTTTATATTTGCTTGATATCTGTGAATGGCAAAAGCATGGTCTTAATAATCTGTTATAAAATAGTGGTATGTTTCCTAAATTACTTGAGAATAAAATAACCATGAAATTTTGTGATATTAAGTGGCTGCTTTTTGATTAAGCATTGGCAAAGTAGCTTTTGGAGATGTTTTTTAGAAGAGGAAGGCAAATAAAATATGCTGGAATGTATAATAAATATAAAAAGTATTATAAAAATAATAAAATTGAAAATAGGGTGGCCATACATAAATCAGTTGAATGAGATGAAGATTGTAGGGTTTTACTATACCTAGAACAGAGGTTCTCAGTATTTTTTGCCTTATGCTCTCTCTCACCATTGTTAGATGATTGTTCCACCATCCTTTCCAAAATTAATTTCAATGTTTTATAAATAAAACATGAAAAAATACTGAAAATTTTGATGAATACCAAAACTTCAACAAAAATTAGTTTTCTATATTTATAAAATAAAATTAAATATTTAACAAGTAAATAAAAGGCTGACTGCATTCACCCTCCCCACCCGAAAGTATAAAATTATTCCTCAAAGGCCCCTCCCCCTTTGGCTTAGAACTCCGGGTATAGAAACTTATTTCAAAGTCCTACAGATTCTACTAGAGTGGTAGTTAGCTATCACTTAGTCTGAAACAAATCACAAGTTCAGAAAAAGATTAAAATAACCTTTTTATTTAAGTCTTAAAAGAAAAGCACAGCTTGTGCAACAGATAAACTTCCGTGACTTTCGGGTATTTAAATTAACATAACAGAAAGTTAAATTTCAAATATAGGTAACATTGTCTGAGACTACGCATAAAACAGTGTACTCAAGCTGGCTCAGGTAGACAAAGGCATGTCTTTTAAATGATGGATAGCAATATTAAGTAAATGCAAGGTGAGGCTGCCAGCATTTCTAATTGAAACATTCAAAGCTCTCTGAAAATACACAAACAACTCATTTGCATTCTGGTGAGGACTACAGAAGGAAGAAGTTTTTTTCAAAGATTTAAATCAGAATAATTGGTTGACATAAAATACCTTATAAGGTTTTCAACAAAGAAATTTGTTTAAATGCCTTTTGAGGCAGTCTTTCCTATTAAATTAGTGAGTGCATAAGCATTAATGATATTCAAAATTTTTACATCACAGATTGTTTAAGTTTTCCATTTTGGTGATCAGGCACGTTCACTTCTTAACAAGGAACTGTTTTTAACATAAAAGTTAAAGCATGTGTGATAAATTTTAATGCTTTTTAAATGGAATGCTTGTGTATTATGCTTTTAGAATGACGTATCAAGAAGTAAGGTATGTTACAATCAGGTCAGTTACATCAAAATTTTTGGAAAAGGGGTGAGAAAGCAAAAATAGTGACTGCATCATGTTTTAGTTATTTGTAATATAAAAGGTTGACTCACAAAGTATTTTCTAGATTAGAATATTTAAAGAACAGAAATAACTAAATAAAATCCAGTTTGCAATGGAAAGTGTAATAAATTGCACTTTATGCAATTCTAATCATAATTTTGTCTTTGTTTCTCAGAGCTCAAAATGTAAAGGGGGCTTGTGCATAATTTATACAGAATTCCATTATTAATGAAAGAACCTTTTTTATTTCTGTTGATTAAAAAGATAATTATTAGTATTAGGTTGGTTCATTAATTTATTTCAGATTTATTAGCATTTGTGATAAACTGTTCAAATTCAATGAAAAATTTTGGCAGATTCTTGTAAAAACGTTTCCGTATAACCCAAAATTGTACAATATTAATCAATTGAAGTGCTTAACATTTGCTTTAGTAACAATGAGTTGAGAACCATTTTAAGAGGTTAATCTATGTCCTAGCTATAGAGTAGGAAATTAGTATTTTCATTTTCTCAAGAATTATGTTCATGTGTGTACTCATTCCATGTGCAATCCAGAAATTGTATTGAGTAATGAATGGATATAGAGGTATTTTACAAAGCTCTTTTTTTCTTTGGGCAGTCAGTTGTAAAGAAGCGAATTGCAGTATAATAAAGGATAAAATATTTAGGGAAAAATTTAAGTTATATTTTTATACAGCAAGTTATTCTTCTGTAATGACATTATTGAGTATAGAGATTGAGAAGACTAGTTACATGTTTATATATGTTATTTTATAGCTCATGGACCATCCAAAAGTGGAGATGGCACAGAGACTGAGTATTTCTGCAAATGGGTTGGATTGCCATACTCAGAATGTACATGGGAGGAAGGCAGTTTAATATCAAAAAAATTTCAACACAAAATTGATGAATACTTTGTACGTCAAAAGAGCCAAAAAATACCTAGTAAAGTGTGTAAAGTAAGTATAGGCTATTTTCATTTTGTTTATGAATGCATAATAATCATTGGCTAAAAGTCAAGTTTATTTTTATTTAAAATCTTTACTGCATCTTTAGTTATTTACAATGTTTTTAAACATCAAAAGTTAGGCAGCTCTTTAAGGAAACTTTACTTTTTGGAAATAACAAATTCTTCAATATGAAGGACTGTTAGTACCATTAAGAGTCCCATTAAGAAGGAAATACATTTACATATATAATATTGCTCAATTTTGTTAAAATGTTTAAATTTTTTGATTATTTTCTATCAAGATTTGTGGACAAAAATTCTAAGTAAGATGCTACAAATTCACTAATAGTGTCTGTTGTTTTTGAATTGAATTTGTTATTTTATCATGTGTATGTTAAAATATAAAAGTGTATTCCTGTGTTTCATGTTTTGTTAAATAGAATAAATTTGTATTTTGGGTTAATTAAATTGTGATACTCTGAAGAATTCTTTCTTCAGAAGTAGTGAAAATTTATTATAAGCGGTTATTATTATAGAATAATTGTATTTAATATCCATCAAAATTGTTTATCTTTGTATTTTTAATATTGAAAGTAACACATAATAATAAGTGTTATTTTATTTTTTGTATAACTAAGAGGGGTTTGTGTGTGTGTTCATGTGTGAAATTAGAAATTCATACATTTTTTTACCATTTTTAGGCTTTAAAATTCCGTCCTAAATTCATACCTTTGAAAACACAGCCAAAATATGTTGGTGGGCCTAATGGTTTAGAACTTAGAGATTACCAGCTAGATGGACTCAACTGGTTAGCTAATTCATGGTCAAAGTATGTTATAGTTTGCTTATAAGCTTTTAATAAAACAATTAAATTTATTAATGCAATATTTGTGAACTTTTTGCAGTTAAATATACTAATGTAATATATTTACTTTATGCTATTTACTGAGTGTTAGATTTGGCTTTCTATTTTCTTACAGAGAGAATAGTGTGATATTAGCAGATGAAATGGGCTTAGGAAAAACTATCCAAACCATTAGCTTTTTAAATTACTTGTTTAATCAGCATAATCTATATGGTCCTTTCCTGTTAGTTGTTCCTTTATCAACAATGACATCATGGCAAAGAGAATTTGAACAGTGGGCACCAGAAATGAATGTTGTTGTTTATCTTGGTGATGTGAGCAGCCGTGGTTTGGTAAATATGGATCTTTTTTATGATTTTAGGGTGACTCTCTTAATAATTTAATGACATAAAAATGCAGTATCAGTTTAATATTTGAAACTCTAAAAGCTTGCTGTTCAGTAGAGTTATATAATTTTGTACATAAATAATAAAATATGGAATTTAAAGCTGCACATTAGTTCTTTCACCTTTCCTTGTGGCTTGATCAAATCTTGGGAGGGGGGGTATTTTTTTTTTTTTTTATTATTATTATTTTGTATTTGTTACTTTTTTCTTCGAAGTATTTTGTTGTATTATGTTCTTTAATTATCTGTAATTCTGTAATCTTTAATGATCTTAAAATGTTTTACAAACACATTGAAAGAGATAATTTTCCATGTTAAATTAAAAAATACTTTGAATCTTGAAAATTTTATCATAGAATTAAGTTAAATTAAATGAAAAAAAGAACTTTTTACAAGTACAAAATTGTTTTTTGTTTTTAACATGCATTTTGTGCATCTTCATGAATTTAAAATTATTCATCTCCTGTACATAATTTCAGAGTTGCCAACTCTTCCGATGTAGGTAGGAGAATCCCAGTTTCGGACTCTTCTCCCGCCAACCTGATTTTCAGTAGATTTCTTCTTAAAATTTCTCAGAATTTTTATGTATCTTGGCTTAATACTTCGTTCTTTTCACAAAAAAAAAAAAAAAAAAAAAAAAAAAAAAAATTATTCTATGCGTCACTTGGTTTTTCTCTAGATAACATCTAAAAGAAAACCAAACTCTGAGAACTTATGCCATGCTTCTAATTTGTGAGTGAGACCACATGTGTTTGAAAACGTAGTGTTTCGGTTCTCCAGTCAGCATCGAGCACCAGTACTTATTGTCTGTCATGTATTAGCCAATGAGCACAAACTAAGATGAAGTCTGTTATTTCGTTCATCTTGTCGTTGACCGGTGTGAGTGTTCGTGCTTTCAAGAAATAGTTTAGAAATCATTTGTGTTACTTACATCTTCAAAAAATGAAAAATACTCGTTTACTTTTCAAAGATCATACACATATGATTTTCCTTCTATTATTTCCTCAAGGAAATGCAATACATTTGCGATGTGTACTGTTTGTCATTGCGATTTTTTGATTTCACATGGTAGAAGGGCCAAAGGTCTCAAGCACATGCATACACGAAAACACAAGAACAACGTAAATTCTGTTGAAAAACAAAAACAAAAATTAGATTTTACTGTGGAAACAAAGGACCAAAAAGTTATTAATGCCAAATGCATGTTCTCTGCCTTTTTACTTGAGCACAACCTGCCACTGAATGCATCGGATCATGCTGCAGCTTTATTTAGAAAAATATTTCCCAATAGCAAAATCACTAGGAAATATTCGAGTGCAAGGACCAAAACAAGCTGCAATTGTTTAAGAAATGGGTATGAAAAAAAAAATCTTCAGTTATTGACTGCATTAAAACGGCTCCATTTTTGACTCTCTAAATATGGTAGCGATAATACCGATTCAAAACTGTATCCGGTTGTCTCTTATTTTAATCCTGTGTCTTCAGAAATTCAGTGTGGTTTACTTTCTGTTTCCACCTTAGAAAGACATTCCGCAAGCTTTAATATAGATGATAATTGCTTAGCACTTGGTGCTGTATTGGTAGATTTGAAGACGTGTTACAGGCATCTTAAAAAAAGAAGCTTAAGATTTTCAAATTATGAGGTGCACCTGTCACCTCTTAAATTTAGCAGCTTCTTTACCAATGATTGTAGATGAACACGTTGTTGATATTTATTATTATCTTAAAAGGAACAAAAAAATTGAAACAATTCCAGTAGCTGCATAATACTGAAATAAGAAAAATTTTGAAACATGTATGTACACGCTGGCTATCTTTAAAAAAAGTTTATCTAGATTTCTCGATCAATGAACCCACTTCTTGCATTTTTTAAAGAAGTAAATGCTTCTAGAGTAAAGATAAAAACCTCTGTTGATAAGTTATAAAATACCTAAAGTAAATGGAGATGTAGCTACTACTTCAACTGTTAACCCCTTAGCTGCCGCAGGCATATATATATATATATATATATATATATATATGCCTTGGTCAGCCGATGCGTTAACTGCCCCGGGCATATATATACACCCGTAAAACTGTTCGCAAAGCTTTGGAATGCAACACCTCAACGACCTTCACAAAGTATGCGAAGGAAAGTACTATTTCAGAAAAATTAGAGGGGTGTGTCTAAAGCAGTGAAAGTAATGACTGTGCGGTATTGGCTGATGTTGTTTGAGTAAAACGTATTTTTTAAAAATTCTGTGTCCTCATTTTCGTTTACTTTTTGTAATAGGTTCCAGGAATAAAGAAAGATATAACGGGTGTTTCAAACCCATTTATCTTTCTGAATTATATTTTGATGAACTGCTCGAGCTTCATATTGTTACTGAAACTAACCGTTTTGTAGGCGAGTATATGAACCAACACCTTGCAAACGAAAAATCAAGAACAAAATCGTTGCCTTCGACCAGTTCAGAAGAAATATATATATATTTTTTTTACGCATACTGATTACACAAGGTATAACACTGAAACCTGATATTACACTTTACTGGTCTAAAAATTAATTGTTCGAAACTCCATTTTAGGGATCTTTTTTATTATAAAAACATCATTTTTTATTATACTTTTGTTACATCTTTTTATTATACTTTTGTTCAAAACATTAAATTTTGTGCATTCATTTTTTTCTTTTGTTCTTTATTTTGTGAAAGTAAAACTTGTACTTATTTTCCCCCTAATACATCGCATAACTACGCGTGCCTGTGTGAAAAACCGTGGCACTGAGAAATGAATCTTGTACGTTTTCCGCGGCAGCTAAGGGGCTAAAAATAGGTTTCTTCTGTACCAATGAGGAATTTAATTGGCAATTCTCAACATAATACTACAGAATATAAGCATACAAATTTCTCTCGAAGTGAAAAAAAAAAAAAGAATCAACAAGAAAATGTTTTCTGATTACTGTAAGTTTATCTTTGTGAAGAACGAATATTTATGTTTTTCTCTTTACACCTTAACAAAGCTTTTTGCTCTTTTGTAAAATTTATTTTGTCATCATTCGATGTTCTTAACACAGTTCTACAAAACAGAATTCCATTAATTCATATTTTGCACTCAATGATTTATGATCTGTTTAAAGACGTTTGTAAAATCAGTCATTGTTTTGTCTTCTAATTCTATATATGATGTGATTTATGGTGAAATAGAAAATCTGAAGAAAGATGAATATTTGGTAATAAGGGCTGCAACTAAAAAAGTAGTGGAAGACCTTTCAGAGGAAGACAAATATATGTTTTACTAGGTGTACCCGCCCGGCGTTCCCGTGCATTTAGAAAATGCAGATAAGTGAATAGCGCAGGAATAGTAGTGTAGGACATGTAGACTGTCTCTCTCTCTTCCCCCCCCCACAAGCTACAAAAAAGAAATGAATTGTAATTAATCGATTTAATGTATCGTCAAAACAGCAAACTAACGCTAGAATAAAGAAATCAATTGTTACAATCGAACGTTATTTGAAAACAAATAATAATATCAGTGAGTCAAAAAAACCGTGATGATAATAAATTATAAATAATTTTTTTTAAATTTTTCTAATTCAAAAATCGAAAATCGGGCTTCGAGGTCTGGTGGCCAGCCCCTTTGTGCTTCCGTATAAAAAATTCCAGGTCCCTGCGTGCGATAGATTTGGCTGGAGAGCTCGGTCGGTCAGACAGACAGACAGACACATTACACTTGCTTTTATTATTATAGATACATGTATTAGAAGCTACTTCTGCCGAGTATATAATTGCATACTACATAAATTTCCAATAGACGATGAAGTGATTTTGCATGCTAAAGTTCCTGATGTTTCTGCTCTAGCAAATGCCTCTTTTTCTGATATTATAAGATTTTTTTAAATAGATTTACAGTTTTACTTCATTTAGTCATGAAAGATGGTGATATTGATGTTGCAACTGATAAAATTGCAGTCGCAGTTTGCAATTAGGAAACTTGGATAAAGTTATAAAACCAGCTTGGATTGACACCCAGTGGAGTTTAATTGGAAAACTGAATGATGCTGATGGAATTTTAAAGTATAGTGACCTGTCTAGAATAATGTTGGCCATTCTGACAATTCCCCATAGTAATGCAGAATGTGAAAGGATTTTCAGTGTTTCTGCAAAAACAAGGATTAAATGTAGATATAACATTAGTAATGATGCATTAAAACTTTTATTAGTAAAAGAAGGCCTAGGTGGCAATTGCTATTTTCAAAATTATGAAATTTCTTTTTTAATGAAAGCAAAATCTGCCACTGTTAGTAGTATTTCTACAAAAACTGATTAAAGTATTATTTTTTGTTTAAAAGATGCAAATAATAAAATTTTCGTACTGTTTTGCATTTAAGAATTAGTAACCAAACTTTCAGATATTTATTTAAAGTTAATTCATTATTAAAAAATATATTTTTATCATTTAAAAAGTCTTTTCGTCATTGAGAAAAATCTTGTAATTTCTTTTAAAAAAAAACTTGATTTTTTATTGTCTTAGGTTGGCAATTATGTAATTTTTATATAGATATGCATGATAAAATGTTTATTGTTTTGATTTTAAATGAGGTATCAACTTTTTATATTTTGTTTCATGTTAATTAATTAAGCATTGGTAGCAATTGCAGTAATTTTTCATTGTTAATTTCTGAGATAAATTTCCATCAGAAATAGAATAACTGTTTTGAATTTTTTTTCCATCAGATACGCCAGTATGAATGGTGTCATCCTGGTAACAAGAGGCTGAAATTTAATGTTCTGCTGACTACGTATGAATTGCTTTTGAAAGATAAAGTTAGTATTTCATTTATTTAATTTTTTCCGTGACTATTTTAATTCTTGATATATATCATGGTTATATAACAGGCAGTGTTTATATTAATATAAAATCATCATAAATTTAATTTTTGCCCAAGTGTAAAGCCATGGAAGATAAATTAAAAACCTTATGCTCCGTGCTTGATGAGGGGATACTAGACTCATGGTAGTATGATGTAATGTAACGTAATGGTTCAAAAATATTGAAAGACTGTTCACGTTAGTTTAAATGAAAGAAATTTTTAATTTTGTGAAAAGTGAAAAACGAAACAATAAAATAACTAATAAAATAGCAGATTTGTGTTTATTTTCGGCTTACATTTGCTATTGTGTTATCACCATGTAAAATTAAGAAATGCTGAGATATGACTAAGAAAGAACTTCAATTTGTTTGACATTTTTCATAATAATTATGTCTTATTCTATGTATGCATGCAATAGTTTATTAATTGCATAATTTATTTTACACTTGATTAATGCTTCAAATATGCTTTATTGTGGTATAATTTCTTGTTGCAGAGTTTTTTGTCAGGGATCAGTTGGGCAGTTCTTGGAGTAGATGAAGCTCATCGTCTAAAAAATGATGATTCTCTTTTGTATAAGTCATTATTTGAATTTGATACAAATCATCGTCTACTGATTACAGGAACTCCTCTTCAGAATTCTTTGAGAGAATTGTGGGCACTTCTTCATTTTATCATGCCACAAAAGTAATTTTTATTTTTTCCCTATTTGTTTATTGCTTTTATTATTCTCTATAAATAATAACTAATTTTTCTTTTGGAAATGTTAATTCAGATTTATCTCTTGGGAGGAATTTGAAGAAGAGCACAAGGATACAGCAGATAAAGGTTATCCTAAACTTCACAAGCAGTTAGTTCCCTTTCTTCTGAGAAGAGTGAAAAAAGATGTTGAAAAATCATTGCCTGCAAAAGTAAAGGAACATTTTGCATTAATTTCTATGATGTTGTGATAAAAATTTTCTTAAAATGAACTATGTATATGTAATGAATTTCTTTGTCTAAAAGCAGCTTCATTTCTAGGTTGAACGTATACTCAGAGTCGAGATGACCTCTGTACAAAAGCAGTTTTACAAGTATGTGTGTATTATATTAGTTTTTTTAGCAAGTTTTTGTTTTTAATAAATGTAACATTGTCATAATTATTATCTCTTATATTTATTTATTCATTCATTGCCTTTTTCTTTCTGTCCACCAGAATATTATGTATAATTTCACTGAAGTTGTCACCAAGATGGAAGTTTTTGTAATCTAAAAATCTGTTATTTCATTCAGTTTTTAAACTGGAATGCTCTATGGGTTTGTAATCATCTTTTTGGGAAATACTTAGCCCTTCAGTTTTTTTTTGGGGGGGGGGACATTCTAAACTTTCCAAGTTTTGCTTTGTCAGAATCTGCAATATTCCAGATTGTTGCTGTCATAATCAGGTGATGGAAATATCTGAATATGTTCAGTCTACAATTGGTGACTTAAGTCATACTGATTTAAATATGTACAGCAAAAAAAATTGTTTTATTCTTATGAAATTATATTTATTCTGAATATTTAATGAGCAAAAATTTTGAAGCAATATTGTTAAATTTTTTCTTTATTTTGCAGATGGATTCTAACAAAGAATTATAAGGCTTTAAGTAAAGGATTGAAAGGCAGCGTTTCAAGTTTTTGCAATATAATGATGGAGCTTAAAAAGTGCTGTAATCATGCTATGTTAGTGCGGTCAGTAGATAACCCAAATAACTTGGATTATTTGCAGGTAATTTAATATTTGCTAGTAATTAAAATTTTCTCTGAAAACTTCATTAAGTGGATAAAATAAGCATTTTTAATCATACATTTAATAAATTTAAAATTTCAGTTAAAATGAGTAATTTTACTCATAGAAATAGTCGTAAATAGTAAATTGGTCATAACAAATTTTAATATGTCCTTTTCCCCCATATTCTCTCTCTTTAACCCTTTGCGGCATGGTGGGTCAATATATGTCCCACCTAATTAATATTTATTTTCTCAGTTAGCAGTTTCCGTTAGATATTTTCTAATCTTTTAAAAATAATGTATTTTAGTTATTATTTTTCTCAGTAGATGTTACTACTATACCAGGGCTTAAGTTTATAAGCAAAAAATATTCAAAATAGGATCACAAGAGTGATATCCATGTATCTTGCATTTTTCAATATTTTAAAAATTTTGTATACAATTTATGATATGTATGATTCTTTTTAATATTCAAAGGTATTTATTTTCAAAAATCTTAATTGAATTCAGTATTTTATAACATTAATTTTTGCAGTTGAAATAAGTGGGGGTTAAAATTTGTCCACCACACACTTGAATTTTCGCTCAATAGATGGCAGCACTCACGATTATTTTTCTTTTCTTTTTTCCATCTACTTTTTTTGTGATTGTGCGCATTTTTACATCCGTTGTATGCTCTGATGTGCTAAAATGTCTAGAAAAAAATTAACAACTCAGGAAACTTTGGATCTTTTTGCTGAACTGCCATCTGATTGCGACTTGTATGCTTCAGATGCAAGTTCTGATTCAGATGAAATTGAAACCCGAGAGAGAATAACTGAGGTTGAATTTATTGCTGAAGAAGAAAGGGAAGTAGTTATAATTTGTTTCACTTTTTAAAGACACAGACCCATCTATGCATGTGGCACTGTAAATATGAATCGGAAGTATCTACCCCAAAATTTAAAAGACAAATGTATGTCGAGAATATATAGACTTTTCAGTTAGCGATGTTTCAATTTATTGCATAAAATGGAAGGATAAAAGATCTGTTTCTATCCTGTCTTGCTTGGAAAAGGCAACTGAAATGAAAGAAATTAATAGAAAAGAACGAGATGGAAAGACAAAAAAAAGTACTGTGCCCAAACAGCATTATTTCATACAATAAGAATATGGGATATGTCGACTGATTGATCAACTGAAAGTACTATATGAAATAGATCGCAAAAGCAAGAAATGGTGGCACATATGATTTGTTTTTTAAAATTTTTAGATGCGAGTATAGTAAAGTTTGTTCGTGAGCCCTATCATGATGTAAAACAATGAAAGGTTTTCTTCTCTCATTTATAGAAAGTCTAATGGCACTTGCAGGCAAGAAAGAGCTGAAAAGCAAACTGAAATCCCCAGTTCAAATAAAAACTAAAACCCCGTTCGTACAACCAGAAAAGAGACTAAAAAATGTAATTCACATGCCAAAGAGAACGAGCAGGAGAAGATGTGCATATTGCAGCACATCGAAAGAAGAATGACGAACATTTTGGATGTGTGAAACATGTGAAGTGCCTCCATGCTTACAAAGATGAAACAACATGTTTTTCAAAGTTTCATGAAAAATGACTTTTTTTTCAATTTTAATCATATATAATGTTTTGAATCAAGTTCCAATTTAATATTTTATTGTATCATATGTACAAGTATCAAATTTTAATCTTAAATAATATTCAAGAAAATATTTTCTTTGTTCTAAAATTTAAAAATTAAATATATATATGAAAATGTGCATATGCAAAATTTTACAAGTCATAAATATATGCAATAAGTACAAAATGCATTTTAGTGTGTTATTATGAATATTTTAGAATGCACGCTTTATTTTGTTTATTCATTCCATATATGATTTTTTTTTTCCTGCTATACACCAATATGCTATAAGACATGTGCTAGTTGCATGGTGGGACGAACGGTATCCCACCTTCCCCCGTAAAAAATAAAAGCAGAATTTTTTTCAAGCCTTAAAGGCACTTAAGTAAGTCCATCTGACTTATTCTAAGGCATTATTTTAAAGATTAAAATATATTTTAAATATGCGTGTCGCAAAGGGTTAACATAGTGTCAAAAATATAATAATAAAATATTTGTAAATTTTACAGATATGGAATTTATTCATTTTAGAAATAAATTTAAATTTCCAAGGTATTATCATCTAAATTTAATAATTATTGAAAAATTAATTTAAAGAAAATTGTGGAATAGACAAAAAAGCATATTATATACTTAAAATGTAGAGTTCTATGTTATATAAATGGGGAAAACTAATAATCAGAAAGGTACCTTTATTTTTTAAATTTTACTTCTTGATGAATTTACCATTATTTTTTATTCTTGTTAATAAAATTTCATTAACCATTAAGCATGTTATTATTTACTAAGATTTTTTTCTCTCTCTTTTAAGCTTCTTATTCGAAGTAGTGGTAAAATTGTGCTCCTAGACAAGTTGCTTTGTAGGTTAAAAGAAACTGGCCATCGAGTTTTAATATTCTCTCAGATGGTTAGAATGCTTGATATTTTAAGTGAATATTTACAGCTAAGGCATTTTTCATTTCAGGTAACTCCTTTTCTTCTGTACTTTTGACCTGTTAATATCTGATCTGTGTTATTTATATGTGTCATAAATTATTGCTGCATAGACATACTTCTTGGAGTAATAAAATGGAATATGATTATTAAGTTATATAAATTTACTTAAGTAGTAAAATAATGCTTAAGTCCTTTTTTGTGAGTGTAGTTGTTAATTTATGCATTAACCCTCTGGCTGATCATCCCGCGATTTCCACGGGCATATGTTTTTCTTCCGTTATTGAGGAACGCATCCCGTTTAATCATTGAAATAAATTATATACAGTATGTGTTTAGTTTACGTTTTGGTCAACAGATATCGTTAGTAGTCCACTAAATTGCGGGATTTGAAGGCACATGGTATTAGCGCTCAAACTTCACTCTTTGCCGCTTTTTTCTTACAGAAATGGCTGCTAGAAAATGTTCAGCAATTATCTTGATTATTTAATTAAATTATTGAATTATTAATTAGATTTATTGATTAGATTGATTATTAGTTAGATTTATTGAATCTGGTGCAAAGACTGTGAAGTTGGACTTTGCCTTGAACCCTGTTTTGTACTCTATTATACTAAACTGTATTTCTAAGGTATTTTTCCCTCAGTGCTTTATATTTTCTAAATTTTATGCATTATACATTTTTATATTATGCAATAAATAGAAATTAACTGTAATTCGAGTGAAATTTATTTTTAAAGTTTTTTTTTTTTTTTTTTTTTTTTTTTTTTTTTTTTTTTTTTTTGATGTGCGTGTGTGTGATAACGCCTGAAATTGTTTTTTCTGGCAACTTAGTTTTTCATGATAAAAATCTATAGAAAAATTGCATTTTTCAATTCTCCAATATATATATATAGATTTAAAATATGCAAAAAAAATATGCAATTTTGAAAACGATTTCGGTCCACAAATTGAGCAGTCAGAGAGGATTAATGATTTTTTAATTGAATTAGCTTAACTGCAGATTAGCCTAATTTTATGGATTTTCTATTGCTTTATACATACTTCTGTTATGTATAAGCAGTATCTTTATTCATACTTCTGTTATGAATATTCTATGAGTGTAAAAATTGCAGTTACTTTTTTAAACTCTAAGATTATATCAGAGTTACAAATTATGGTCTTAAATAGTTAGCAGCTTTAATTTTAAGATATTTTTCACTGATTATTGAAATGAAAAGGTAATTTTGTTTATTTTTATCCCCCCCCTTTTTTTAGAAAGGAAGTTATTTTCTCTTAAATTTAAAATTATTATTTTTTGTTTTACCAGCGTTTGGATGGCTCTATTAAAGGTGAACTACGAAAGCAAGCTTTAGATCATTTCAATGCGGAAGGATCTCAGGTATGTTCCAGTACATTTTAATAGTGCAATATAGTTTTCCTTGTTGTAAAAAGAAAAGGAAAAAAGTGGGAAAAGAATATATATACATATGTGTGTGTATATGCCCACAAAAAAAATTGAGCTACAGTCATGAAAGTCAGCATGCAAATGATTAGGATTCCATTTCCATTGATATTATGGGATTCATTCAATATATATGAGAAAGAGATCTTTTCAGAGTATTTAAAAGTAGCTATACTCTTGCTCGGAGTTTTATCTGTTTTTTTTTATTATTATTATTTGTGTACAGAAGTGCTTTTAAGGCATATTTGATGCTGTAAAAAATAATTCAAGTTAAAGATAGACCACATCATAGGCCTAAAATAAATATGTTTATCTGATATATATTTTGGCTGTATTCGTAATCAGAACAGTACAATAGCTTTTTGATGTAGCAAGAGTAGATCAGAAAAATGCAAGTTCATTTGAGTATCTGGGATGTCCTGAGCCTGAGTCACATATGTTATTTAATTGATTCAGAACCTCACTTGTGGGATACATGAGCTTAAATAATATCATGCATGCAGAATAGCCTTGATATCAATATTATCCATTTAAAAGCATTTTGCATCCTGCTGGCTGAAAATGGGAATGATACTTAAATTAAAGAGAGTGCAGCTGACTTTTTAATATGTGCAGCTGTCTTGATGCTGAGCTGGTCACCCTGGACAGTTCTTGAAGGAAGATACACTAGTAATATTTATTTAAACTAAATAGCTTATTATGTAGTATTAGGAATATTTCAGTGTTTTACACATGCTCCAATAAATATACTTCCCCCCCCCTCTGCCCATACATAAAATGGAAATGTGATGTAATAATTTTATACATGAATAAAATACAAGTATAATATTCTTAATATGAAATAAGTAAAAAATCAACATCTTCCAGCCAGTTTTGTCCATCATGGAAAAAACTCTCTATTCCTATTGAGAATTCTCCATTTCCAAAATTTTACTTTACCCTGATCCCATCTGCAATGCCATAAATCTTGTATGATTGAAAGGAATGTATCACTTCTGGAATTTTCTTGTGAATTATGCATTGCAGTTGAAAAAGTTCAGTAGCGTTAGATTTTTCTCCTCGTTTAAGTTTATCCGTTTGAAATTATAAAATTGGTTTATCACATACAATACCAAAAAAATGTTTTATTTGGTTGCATGATTTTTACGATAATTTATCAATTCTGTAATTTTTCTTTTTTACTTTTAATTTCTGTACTTTTGTAAATAAGTGTTATTTTGCAAATTTTGTTATTGTTATGATCTGATACTCAATTTCAGAATCTGTCTAAAAGTTAAATGTTTCATAGCAAGTACACCTGGCGAACAAATAAGAAAAATGTTATTGTAAGCTTATAAAGGAGAGTAGTTAAATTACATGCAGAAAATGAAAGTACTTAATATATAATAGTGCTGCATTGGAATAAAATATAGATATAATAAAGCTAAAAAAATAATTTATTTCTTGTGGTTGGAATTCCCCCTTTCCCCCAGAAAGAAATCTGCCAGTCCTGGTGGGAAAGGAGTGGCTAGCACTCTAGTTCCACATTTTTTATTGATTGTTGTATGTACCGTAATTTCCGGAAGAAGGCCGCATCAGCGTAAACGCCGCACTCGAGAAAAATGGCGGGAAAAAAAATTAAAATTACACAGAAACGCCGCAATAGATTAAATTGCGCGTGACATCGTCATGGGCCGTATAGATGCAAAAACTCAACCTAGGTCTTGATATATGACATACCAGTTAAGAAAAATGCATGAAATGAAACCATAACTCAAAAATAAATTAAAGGTAAGAAATGTATAGCTTCTGTGCCGTTTAGACATTTTCAAAAATTTTCCGCTCCCTTCTTACTTAAAAACTATCCAACAAGTACTTGTACCCAAACTGATGGGATCTGTATTTGGCAGAATGCCAAGAAAAATCCATTCATGCTGAAGGGGAAATACATCAGAGTTCGTTATGCAAAAAGCAACTGAGTGGTCTTTTGTGTGGGAACAGCACCAGTCTGTGCACAATGACAAGGCCATCCAAACTATGTACAATGACCATCATAGGAAATATTTTATTTTTAGTGCACCTAAGCGCCGCACCCGCTGAAAATTTAAGTTTTAAACACACAGCGTTAAGTAAACACCACGGCGTTTCTTCCGGAAATTACGGTATGTAACATCTGGTTATGACAGTCTGAAGGGCCATCTCTTTAGGCAACGAATTTCTTTTAGTTATCTGTCATCTCACATATATATTGCCCATATCTTTATCATACATAAAAAAATTGATCATGGTAGTTGTATTATTTAATGCACTACATCAGTTATTCCATTCACTTTAATGCTGCATTTATCCAAAGTAATTTTTTAATCAATTAAGAAAATAATAAAAGGAAACAAATTTTTCAACCTGCCAGCCAGGTTCCACCTTATTACATAAAATCAACAGAAATTTGCATCTTGCGGCATAAAGTGCTCCCCCAATAAACACACTGCAATCTGAAAAGTTCGACTTCTAGTTCAGAAAGGAGTTAACAGTACATAATTTTTTATTCAAAAAATATAAAATGTAATGTTAGTTTTTTTCCTGTCTCCTTAACTAAAACCGCTTACTGTTTGTTGTCAATTCACAAAACTAAATTTTGATTGTTGAATAAAATTAAAAAGAATGACATTTTTAAAATTTAATTTTAAAAACTATCGGGATTTTAGAAGTGCTTATAATTTTTTCTGCATTTGATTTTGACTAACCACTTATGCCACCAACCGCTTGAAGTAATTATTATAAATAATGTAATTATTACAAATTATTATAAAATAGATATACTATATATATATACAGTGCTTTTAAGGAATCTAGCTAATGTAATTTCATAGGTTCATCTAGTAATTAATAATAACTGAAATGAATCTGCATTTATTACTTTTATTGCTAGTTTTCTGATTAAATCTGAAACATCTTATGGTTTTCCAAGTGGCAATACAAAACTTTTATTCCTGTCATTTTTTATCAAAATTTTCTTTTAATTCACTCAAAAAATTATGCTTTTACATTGTTTAGTTTGTTAATTAATAACCATAAATTTTAAAGAAAAATTAAATATACAGTACAAAGTCTGTAATTCGGACGTCCATTATCCAGAATGATCTACAATCCGGATATCCAAGCCACAACCTTTTTTTTTTTTTTTTTTTTGTGTGTGTGTGTGTGTGTGTGTGTGTGTGTGTATGCTTTACGCATGCGTGTTTAGCACAAAAAAACGAAGCAACTTAAACAACTTACATTGAAAGAAATGTTTAATAAAGTAAACAAATAAATATTAAGTTTTTTGTAAATTTTGATACCTTTTAGATCATAATTGCTCTTTATTTCATAAATTACGGTTTCATATTTTTAATTGTATAATTTCTGCATGCCATCATACCAGATTTAAATTGATGATCTCTAATCTGGAATCGCTGAAGTCCCGATGAGTCCGGAGTTCAGGTTACAGACTTTGTACTGTATTATGCTTCATTAAGTGGTAACAAACTAGTATGTTGAAGTAGGCAGTGGCAACACTTTTTTTTTTTAATCACCAAGTTCTTTTATTTAAAATTTAAAAGGCAAATATATCACTCATTTTTAATCAAAAATTTCTTATATTCACACAAAATGTGCAATAGTATTTTTTTAATTCAAAACTCAAGCTTCGGGGTGCATATATTTGGGCGGAGGACTGACTATGTATGGTCAAAGTTTGATGGTTCTACATGCCGCCATTTTGCTACAATGCAGTTAAATTCAAAACCAAAAAATATGTTACATTTTGCTAAGTGGCAACACACTTCTTTTATATCACTGAGTTTTTTAATGAAATTTGAAAAAAATATTTTATGTTTTGCAGAGTGGCACTGTGTGTGTTAAAAATTTGATGGCTCTATATGCTGTCATTTTTTCACAATGCGAGCAGCATGCAAACATATAGTTTCTTCATTATTTAATGCATACACTGACCAATGAACTAGAAACCCAAGATCAATATTTTATTGGACTGCCTTTTGCATGGATAATTGCTTTGATTCATTTGGGCATCGAGTCTACATGCTTCTGGAGTGCATTTGCGTCCAGAGGAAGAGAGTTCCATCTTCGTGGGGTTCTCGCCAATTTTGACGTCTTCTATCAGTGCAAATAAGGTGTAGCGTGATTCAGCCAACCACATTGCCCGTTTCCAATCTTTAGATGTCCAATGTCTTCTTTTCTGTCACCACTGCAAATGAACTCTTGCATGTCAGGCAGAAATGAGTGGTTTTTCTCACAGGCACCTGACTATTTGTTCTTATCCTCTGTGCATGGTTTAAACTGAAATCTGTTGGGAAGAGCCTTGGATGACAATCTGTGTCAGTTGAAGTACAGTAGAGTGCCTGTTCTGCCATACAATTCATTGGAGACACCACGGATCCACTTTCTTGGAGGAGTGTGCTTGAACGACAGTTGTGTCTTCTAGAGAAGAACTGTGAGTTCTGATTCCAACTTTTGAAAACCTTTGATATGTCTGCTTTTGAGACACCAGTGAAATTTGGTGTCTTCGAAATCGAGTCTCCTGCTAAACGGACAGCAACAATAAGCCCTTTTTCAAATGCCGAAAGATCTATCTTTTTTTTTTTTTTCATTTTACTTCATTCATTCTGAAAAGCACTCTTACTCCTTACTTATACTAGCATTCTAACCACATGTGACCCACGTCATAAAAAAAGTTTTTTGCGTATTTCGTCACTAGCACGCATTCAAATGAAAATCTCAAAGGTTTCTAATTCATTCACCTGTGTGTGTAGTAGAGAATGTAAAATGATGGTTAATTTAAAAAAAGTCATAATATGGACAAAATTCTTACTTTTTGAATAAAATAGCAAAGATGTGTTAGAGAGAGGTAGAAATGTGAAAATTTTTTTATATCACTGTTATATTGGGCCATATATAAAAAGTCTGCAGTTTTTTGGTACAAAAATTTTCTTTATTCAATTTTAATCAAGTACACATTGGCCATTTTTCCGGTAACTTCATAATTCCATTAATGTGGAACTTCTGTGGCTTATCATCGAAAAACTTGGCCAAGTGATTTTCATCAGTGCTTCAGCTGGCCAATTTTTTTTACCATCAAGATAGTTTTGCAGAGACTGAAACAAATGGTAATCAGGTGATGCAAAGTCCAGGCTGTACGGTGGATGTATCAAAACTTCCCAACCAAGTTCCGTCAATTTGTTCCAAGTCATCAAAAATATGTGTGTCCATACATTGTCATGATGGAACACAACTCCCTCTCTGTTGGGCAATTCTGGTCGCTGTTTCTGGATTGCTTCATTCAATATGCACACCACTGGGCTGAATTTATGGTTTTCCCAGGTTGCAGCAAGTCATAATGCACAATTCCTCATGTGGCGCCTAAACATCGAGCTTCTTTTTGTAGCCTGTTCTTTTCAAATGATTCCCAACTGTCATGTGGTTGTTGTTTAGTGCCTCCGCTATTTCCTGAAAATCTGCGTGCCGGTCTTGCTCCACCAGTTTCATAGACGTTTTGAATGACTGGCCAACCAGAGCGAAGTGTGTCTTTGATATAAAATTTCTGGAATGAAATCGAGCAAACCACTCCTGGGGCCTTTGTTCACTCAACAGCATTCTCACTGTATACTTCACAAATTTTTTGCCATATTTTTGCAGCATTTTTACTTTTTTAATAGTAAAAAAGCATCACATAGCATATTTCTTCAGATATCTCACTCATTTTCAAATCAGTATAACTTTTTACACAAGCAATAAATTAGAAAACTATCTTCACTAACAATGGAAGCTGAATGTCACCTTTTAAGTACATGATCATTTGAGACAGTTGGGTGAGTGTTGCTGAATATATAACAATCTAGTGGCAAAAAACTGCAGACTTTTTATATGTGCTAGTATATATAAAACATATTTTTATCAAATTAACTTTTAAAATGTTTCATTTTATTACACTATCAGAAATAAAATATGTATCATCAGTTGGTAGCAGTATGCTGCTTCATTTCTGAGCTAAAATAATTTTCAATCATCTTGACTTCAAATTTATATGTAATATATTAAACCTCAAATGAATGAATTCCCTCCTCCCCTAAAAATGATATGCTTGTATCTAAAAAATAATACGTAACAGTAAAAATATAAAAATTTTTAACTTGGGTATTATTCATTTAAAATGAACTAGTGATTTCATAATGTTTTAGGTAGTGTGATAGAAAGAAAAAAATGTTAGATTGGATTGCACTTTTTAATGCAATTGATTAAATCTGTAATTGGTATATTTTAGAGATTTTACATCAGGGAAACGGCGATTTGAAATAAGTTAGTGGTAGACATTAATACTTTGTATGATTATTATTTTTTACTTCTTAATTATTAATTACTTCTTAATCATTTTTGACTTTTGGTTGATACTTTATGTGAAAAAATTATGTGGTGGTATTAGAATTATGTGTATAATTTTATTTTTATGGAAATGTAAATGAGTGCCTTTAAATATACATAAAATAATTGAGCAGCTGAAGTTATGGTGAGAAGAAGCCAATTTGGCTTTTTTGGGCTAATTATCTGATTTCAGTTCAACAGCCACCGCAGCACAATGTAAAGTGATATCATTTTCTTAAAGATTGTGACTAGTCCGTTTTTTTTATTATTATTAATTCATTTGTACATTCTTCACTATAATGATCTGTTGGAAAATACTGACAAGTTTTCCACGGATCTATCCTCCTGTTTGATGTCATGACTTTTACATGGCATTCTTTTTTGTTAATCCATAAAAAAATGATTATGACATAAGTAGACTGTGTATGGCTTAAGTCTGGAAATTTAGAACAAATTATCTTTCAGTTATTAGATTTTGCTTATGGAAATGCATGTTTGCTAAAGTTTTTAGCTATGTGTTATTTTTCAGAATTTAAACATGCTTTAATTCTTTCAGGACTTCTGTTTTTTGTTGTCTACAAGGGCTGGAGGCTTAGGTATCAACCTTGCTACGGCAGATACTGTTATAATTTTTGACTCTGATTGGAATCCTCAAAATGATTTGCAAGCTCAAGCAAGAGCACATCGAATAGGACAGAAAAATCAGGTTTGTACTTTCATCAACAAAACTATATTGTGCTAAAAGAAGGTAAAAGACAAGGTCCTTACAGTCCTTAAAAGTCCTTATATTTTTTAATTGATTTTTGGTCCTTAAAAGAGCTTAATTTTGGCCAAAACCAGCAGAGGGTCCTTAATTTTAATCATCTGAAATTTCTGTCTGTTTTTAAGACTGTCATTTTGAGTGTGAATTAGCATTTTGGAGCAATATTTTTGGTGATTCACTGGCGTATGTATGGTTATCTTTTGAATGGGTTCATGAGTTATAATTTGTTTCTATTTCTAATATAAATGATGGGATACTTGAGTTTATAAGCAAGAAGTAAAACATAAGCATTTTGAAGTTCTTTCATTTTTTTCTAATGAGGGTCTCTTAAACAACTTTTTGCTTTTGCGGATGTGAATTCTTTTATTAAACGGTTCTAAATTTGGCGACTTTTCAATATTTTCGCGATTTTAAGATCAGTTTCTATAGAAACTTTTTTATTCCAAAATCTGAGAATTTTTTGACAATTTTTTTAAAACATCGTAACATTGATTAATTTCATTAAAATAAAGGTAATACAATCAAAAGTCTTTAATCCGGACTCATCAGGACTTCGGCGATTCCGGATTATAGATCATCAGTTTAAATCTGGTAAGATGGCATGCAGAAATTATACAATTAAAAATATGAAATCATAATTTATGAAATAAAGAGCAATTGTGATGTAAAGGGTATCAAAATTTACAAAAAAAAAGCTTAATATTTATTTGTTTACTTTATAAAACATTTCTTTTAATGCACGCATGCGTAAAGCATACATTAGGCATAGTCGAAATTAGAAAATTGCAACCAGAAAACTATTTGATGTGTATTCGTGATATTTATAATGATGATGAAATTGATTTAAATCATATCAGAGTTCATCAAGATGAAACACTACATTTAGTAAGGAATTATAAGCCGAATAAAATAAAAACATCTGCGCTGAAAATGAGGATAGTGCTGACAGATCAACTTCCAGTTCATTGCGCGCCGCGACGAACTAGCGAGAGCACTAGTTTGCATGTTAAGACAAATCTCTAATTGTTAGAAAAGATGCTTAAAGAGAAGAAAATCTATATAACTAACCAAAATGTTTGGGAAGGCTTCAAATTAAAATGACAGATAAATATTTGGTTGAGTGTTATTGTTACAAAACATAAATGTTTTGTATAAAACAAACTTTGTATAAAAATAACTTTGTTTTTGTAGCTTTTAATGTGTAATTATCCTAGTATCGTTTAAGAATCAATGCCATAAATTATGTATATTTTAAGCTGTGAAATTTTATTAGACTTTGATTTTAATAGGGCTTTTTTAAGAAATATTGTTAAAAAATAAAATTTAATAGTGGTCATGTAAATCCACAATGACAAATTTATCAGACTACCTAATTTAATTATTTTATAACTAGCTGCTTACCCTTAAAAATTATCTCTACATATTAAATCAATTTATTGCTTTTCATTAATACTCACTGTGGTCACAGGATGAAACACAAAAATGTAAAAATTCAAGTAAAACTTATTCTTTATGAGACTTAAAAGAATACAAAACAACTTCTGGTGCTTAATGGCTTATTGGAACCTTAAAGTATATTAACTGGGTTACAACCCCTGGAACTCTACACGAAGCTACACTAACTGCATCAAACAGAGCCTGACTAACTTTCAACACTTACCAACTGTGCCTACATCAGGCCTTTCAGGTTCTAATCAGCAGGTTTCTCTCTAGACAAGCAGCAACAGTGACAACATTCAGTCTTTTGTTATGAATCATTCTGATTATGATCTTACTTCGCATTTTAACCTATGCTGTTTGACATAAAATCTACTTGTTATTTACTAAACCTCTAGACTGACCAAGTATGCGACAAAATGAGATATGAAAAAAATCAACATAAAGCTAACTGTTAGTAAAACGTAAATATCACTTATCTTCTTTCAAATATGTCTGACTATTACAAGTGTAAAATATTTAATGCTACTTGATAAACTGCATAAAGTTTATTTTATTCTCAAACTTATTAATAATTATGTTAATTTGTTCATGTTTAGTAATAATGCATACTACTTAGGGATCTATTTTATTTTTAGGATGGTGTTACAAAAGGGAAATTCAGGCATAGATAATATTTTTAATTGAATTTATTTAGTTCCCATTTGTCCATAGGTCCTTATTTTTTTTTTTTTTTATTATTATTAACCCTTTGCGGCGCACTATACGTTAACGTCGAAATTTCAACAAAAAAAGTTGTATGCAGTCTATTTAGTCCTAAAGGACTACACAAGTAAAATTTTGTAAAAATTGCACTTACCATTTTAATTCTGTGGGTGTTCCATGAGGTGGAACACTGCGCCGCCAGAGCTTTTAAAAGTGCGACTAAGCTAGCATTGCAGTGAAGCACGAAAATGAGTAGAAGTGTTTGTACAAGAAAGAAAAAACTCTGTATTATGGTTGTATACATGGTTTCCTGGATATACACAATATTCTTGAATATATACGGATAAATGAGATAAATATCTATATACACAAGTTCTATATACAAAAGTATTTACAAATTTTCCTATTTCTTAGCTTTGTGAAATTGTTCAAAGCAAGTCACACCTTTTTGATGGAAGCACAAACCAACTTTGCAGGTTTTGCACGGCTTCTGCTTCGTGCTACAATGCTCTATATTCTAAAAGTTTTGCCATTTCTAGATTTTGTTGTTCGGTGTGTCACTAAATTCTAAAAATTCTGCCACATCAGCTCTGTAACCGGCCTGTACCATATATATTTCATATTTCTTCTGACTGTTCATATTACTAAAATTATATTAGCCGTTTTTTCTGAACATTCTACATGCATTTAGTGTTTTTTAGAATAAAAGAAATCGTTAATTAAATCCAAAAATTCTAAAATGAAAAGGAAGCATGTTGAAGAAAGAAACCGAGTACATAAAGAAAATTATTCTTCAACAATATGTGCAGTTATTATTATGTAAATTATCCAATTGTTTATGATTTCAGCCTTTACTATAATTTCCTATTTCTATTTTCTCATATGATAGAGTTACTGATCCAGATTAAATTAAAATTTAATTGTATAATCTTTGACCACTAGTCCACATTATTAGTTTGAATTTGATTGTTCTTTTTTAATTATGTCACTGTGAGCTGTAATTGATTTTGTTAGCATCAGAACGTGTATTTATGTTTTAAGTTCTTCTTTAAATAAGAGGCTTATTTAAACCTTTGTCTGATATTGTAGTTACTTTCAGACATAGCAATAATATGCTTCACGTCTTTTGGGGATTTTGAACTATGTAACTTATCAGATCAAGTAAACCCTCATAGGTACATTGTGGAGAGGTTGATAAGTTAGGAGATAAAGCATGCAGAAACTAGCGAGAGTGTTGTTTTGCATGTTAAGGCAAATCTCTAATTGTTAGAAAAGATGCTTAAAGAGAAGGAAATCTGTATAAACTAGCCAAAATGTCTGGGAAGGTATCCTATTAAAATGACGGATAAATATTTTGTTGAGTGTTGTTGTTGCAAAACATAAATGTTTTTGTGTAATTATCCTAATATCGTTTAAGAATCAATGTCATAATACATGTATTTTAAACTGTGAAATTTTATTAGATTTTGATTTTAATAGGCTTTTTTAACAAATATTGTTAAATAAAATTTAATACAATCCATAGTGACTAAGGTTATCTAATTACCTAATTTAATTACAACTATCTGCTTACCCTTAAAAATTATCTCTACATATTAAGTTATTTATTGCCTTTCATTAACACTTAGTGTAGTCACAAGAGAAAACACAACAATTTAAAAATTCAAGTAAAACTTATTCTTTGCATCTAGTGAAACTTAAAACTAATACAAAACAACTTATCATCTCTGGTACTTTAATCGCTTATTTGGAACATTAAAGTATATTAACTGGTCTACAATCCCTTAAAACTACAAAGCTATGACACTAACTGCATCAAACAAAGCCTGACTAAGTTTCAACACTTGTCAACTGTGTCTACATCAGACCTTTCAGGTTTCTTCTAATGAGCGGGTCTCTCTCTAGACAAGCAACAGCAGTGACAACATTCAGTCTTTTGTTATGAATCATGCTGATTATGATCTTACTTCTCATTTTAACCGATACCGTTTGACATAAAATATACCTGCTACTAAACCTCTAGACTGACCCAGTATGTGACAAAATGAGACATAAAAAAATTCAACATAAACCTGTTAGTAAAACGTAAATGTCACTTATCATCTTTCAAATATGACTAGCTAAATATGTAATGCTACTTGATAAATTGCATAAAGTTTATTTTATTCTCAAACGTATTAATAATTATGTTCATTAATTCATGTTTAGTAATAATGCATACTACTTATTGATCTATTCTATTGTTAGGATGGTGTTACAAAAGTGAAATTCAGGCATAGATAATATTTTTAATTGAATTTATTTAGTTCCCATTTGCTCATACGTCCTTAATTTTTTCATTAATAAAAGTACTTAATTTTGGTGTGCAGAAATGTGTACGAACCCTGAAAGAAACCGATTATCTGAAAAACGTTACTTTAATATTTTAATATGCTTTGTTATATCACATGAATATAGAAGTCTACATAATTAATATTAATGCACTTAAACTATTTGGAATTAAATGGAACAAAAGTACTCTGTGTTGATATTTCTGAATAGCTGCTTTAATAGAATTTAAATAGATATTTAACGTAATATTTCTGAATAATTACTGAAAGCTGTAATTTATCATGTTCTAATGTGAGTTTTTTTTTTTTTTTTTTTTTTTTTTTTTTTTTTTTTTTAAGGTTAATATTTATAGACTTGTCACCAAAAATAGTGTGGAAGAGGATATCATTGAACGAGCTAAAAGAAAAATGGTGCTTGATCATCTAGTCATACAACGCATGGATACAACTGGTCGCACTATTATGTCATCTAATAAAACTCCTTCTAGGTATTTTATCTTTATGATCAAATCGATGGTATCAACAAGATGTTATACAGTACAAAGTCTGAGATCCTTACTCATCGGGATCCAGATTTGGGATTTTTCCGGATATTATATCATCAGTTTAAATCTAGTAGCACGGCATGTAGAAATTATAAAATTAAAAATATGGAATTGTGATTTATGAAATAATGAAGCGCTTATCTAAAGGGTATCAAAATTTACACAAAAAAAAAGCTTGCTATTTATTTGTTTACTTTATAATTTCACATTTAGTTTTCAATATTCGAAAACCTTTAAAATTTGCGACTGTCATCATCAAATTTAGCTATTGCTCACTATACATATTTGGCTATGCATCATGAGCTTGGCAACAAGTTGTTCCACTAAATTTTATGTTTCTTCTATCGCACACCGAGACAATTAAACCTGATTTGTATTAGTGTAGTTACTTATTATACTTATGTCTATTTCTTACACATGCTTATCTGAGTCCTGAATAAATAAATTCCCACATATGCTTAAGGTGTATTGAGGTCCAGCGCTAGATATCTTATCGCTTTATGCAGTCTTCGTGGGTCCTAAATACTACCGAGCGCCTTCCTTTGTCTTCCCTAAATTCTGCCACCCAGTGCAGCCATACGAGCCCTGGCACTGGTTCTGGGTTTATGTGAATAACAAATCGGGTATTCTTAATTCAAATAGTACTAAATTTAATCTTTTTGGCCTATGAGTATCATTAACAAAATCTCATTTTGGCATATGGAAAGAGATTTTAGTTAAATTTTTCCTCATCAACATTTCTTAGTGCATTGCACTTAAATCTGCAATCATCGCCAAGCGAAATGTCAACATAAAAGGTTACTATAATCTTTATTATTCAATTACTAGCATTAAAAAAAATATTTAGCGTCGCTGCATGAGTCATTACTCAAGTTGTCTTGTGTTGATAAATGTGTGGTGATCAGTGGTTTAACTAGAACTCTTGGGCCCCTATGCAAAAGATTTTCGTGGAGGGCCCCTCAAAAAGGGGCAGTTTGTCCAGAAGGACTATTAATTTCATTTGGCATTGTACGTTGATTCACCATAAACAGCGAATAACTTTTTAAATTGTTGCCACCAAATATTAGAGCCCTGTATTATATTTAAAGACATTAAATAATGAAGAATCTGCATAAATGTATGTATGTTTCTCGCATTGTGATAAAGCGATACCTGGAGCCATCGAATTTTGAATAACGTATACGTCTCCACCCAAATATCTGCATCTGAAAGCCCAAATTCGGAATTTGTTTTATTATCTATTTCGTATTTTGTAAAGAATTGACGAGTTTTTGATTAAGAAACTCAATGATTTTAAAATGAGCAATGGCAACACTGCATGAAAAGAAAAATCTTGTCTCCAGCGTGTGAGGCTGTGTATCGGAAATCCTAAAGATGGGCGTAGTTGTAAAATCAGAAAGTTCGCACTTAACGCCGCATACAGTTCAACACTAAAGTGACAAAATTTAAAAGCCGAATAGCCGATATGTAAGATGCAGTGTTAAGTGTTGGCATACATTTTAATATTCTTTTTAGTTATTTCCCAGTTTGTTCAGTATCCCGTTTAGTAAGATGTTTTTTTTTTTTTTTTTTCATAATTAAGTTTTTATGTGTTTATTTATAAGTGTCACTTCTTCTGACTTATGCCATATAAAACTGAGTTCTTATGCACAAACCACAATATATTTAAAAACAGCATATTTATATTTGCTATATTATTTTTTTTAAACTAGCCGCACATATAGCAAGCCGCATAATATAGTTATCGTAAAAAAGGAAAAGTATATAATGATGTTAATGAACGTAATTTCATAAAAATGTTGAATACTTCTAATTAAACATTACGTGATTTTCAACATGTTCACTTAAATCAATTGCATGAGAAAGTAGTAAAAAGATTTTCTCAAGAACTGTGCTTGTTGCTTTTAAAACACCAGACCTTCCAGATTTTAACTTTCCAGACTATATATGAAAGTATCTTAGGCTTTACTGAATAGCAACGTGCTGACAAGAGGAAAATAAAAGAATTTTACTTCTAGCAGCGGCAATACATTGCTTTCATAGAGATGACTTTGTTAATTAAAATATAAATAAATATGTTGCACTTTATACAATTGGCAGCACTCTCATGTGCTGAGGTAAAAGTGCTCTGTTTTGAACAGTGTTGCCGTTGCTTCCTTTCAAATTCATTACAGTTTTTAAAAAATATGAAATAAATGATAAAAAAAAAACTAGAAATTCAAATTTCGGGCATCCAGGTGCACATGTTTGGGTGACGGACTATGTTATTCAAAATTTAATGTCTCTAGGTACCCTCGTTTCTTTTAAATGCGAGAAACATACATTCGTGCACTCGGAATCTTCATTATTTAATAATATCTTTAAAAATAATGCAGGGCGTTAATATGTGACAGCAATGATTTGATAAGGGATACACTGTTTATAATGAAGCAAAGCAATGCATTTTATATTAAACTGTAATAATCACTCATATGGATGAATTTAATTTTAAGTTTAATACTAGGACTGATTTTTGGAGTTAATTAATGGAAATGCCAGTAACAGATTAAATATATGAACAAAATTAAATGCTCCAAATGATATGTTTTGAAAATTGAGAACTGCAAAATTAAGTACCAGAACCATGCCTAGTTATTTCTTTGATTTATACTTCAAAATATATCTATTGATTATTCGATCTTAATAACAAAATATATAGAAACAAAATAATTACATAAATATAAAACAATAACCGTTTAATAAGAAATTATTATACTTATTTTCTGGCATCCTGTAATTTATACTTTGTTACATATTTTGTTCCATTCATATATACCTATATATATATATATATATAATTTAAGGATTCTATATTAACTAATACATATATAACCAAAAATTACATTAATGATGTATTTTTGAGTATGTTTAACTTCATTCTGAAGAATTTTCTGCAGTCTAGTTAGCGTTATTTTATGAGTACCAAATCAGAAACAATTAAATTTTTACATAGCGTTAGAAAATTCACCAAAAAGTAGCGACCCACAATGTATTTGTAATTTGTTAAATGGTTATTAGACGTAAAAAGGTTGAACAACATTTGAGATACGACTATTTTCTCAGATACCCAGATATTTCTTATACATGTAATATAGCATTCAAAGTGCAAAACTCAATGTTTACACTACAAATCCATTGATGTTATAAATATGTGTCTTTCTATTCCTGTGCAACTGCGGAACTTTTACTACTCTTTTCTTATACAATAAAATTTGACATGTGGCTGCAGTATAAAATCACTTCCTGAAACTGGAATTTCTGCGAATTCTAGTGAACTTTAGGAGGCCTGACTTTTTTTCCTGTATCTTAATTTTTGCAGCCATTGTCACTTACTCGCCTCAACAAATTCAGAACTTGTTCTCACAATAAACCTGAATAACAGTCTGGCCTCAATTATAGCTAATGATTTAAAAGCTGTCCTCCTGAGGGGAATCAAAACTAGAGCATACAGCCTTTTTTTCCCCCAAAAAACTGAATTCAGGTGTTATATGTGCTTACAAGGACCCCTATCTGTGTCATATATATATTGTAATATTTTATTATTTAACAAATATCTATATTTATTATTGGAGTGGCAGCATCATATTTGTATCATGTAGCTGTTGCTTAGCAACATAAGATTTTGTTTAAAATTGTGATTCTAAAAGTTTTACCAGCTAGTAGGAGTTGTATGAAAAATTTATAACTAAAAGACTGTATTCAAATTATCTATCTCCTTAAACTAAAAATAAAATTTATGTTTAATAAGATTATGATTTGTTATTTTGTTAAATATTGCACAATACATTAAATATATATATATAAATGTAGATCAGCAAGACATTCAAGGGACCCTTAAGTAAGCCTTCGGACCCCTATGCAACAGCGTTCCTTGCGTACCCTTATTTATGCCACTGGTATTGATGAAAGGAAAATATAATAAATAATGATTTGCCAGAATGTCATCAGGGATATAACATATTAGTAGGTTTAAAGTCAACGTTGTACCAGTGTAGAATGTTTCGGTTTGAGATGTATGTTAAGCAGCTATGCATCCATGGAGTCGAATTATTGGTCATACAAATTTATGCTAAAATGATTGTTTCTTCAATAACAAGGTACTTTATTTAGTGCCAAAGTGAAATTAAGAATTGAACACTCCAAATGTTTTATTATACACAGAGGGGGAATCAAATGCGCATGTGTAAGGCATACAAAATGTTTTTAATTTGTTGGTGGCTTTGAGGTCCAGATTTTAGATCATTCCGGATATTGGATGCCCGGATCTCGTACTTTGCACTATATATTGCTCTGTGTATTCCAAATTTGTTGTAAATTATTGTTTCCTTAACCTTTTTTCAATCACTGCTCCCATTACAAGGGTGGGTGTTTTATTTTCCTTGGCATGTTTGTCTAGTTTGTTCAACTTAACCTTACTCATAATGATTTATTAAATGGTCCTTTTAATATAATCTGTGACCACTAACTGAAAACAAAAATATTTAAGCAGTTATACCACTCATAAAATTATTAATTAATACTCGCTGTGTAATACAGAATCTGATGAATCTGACATGATTCTTGCCATTCTGTTGGCAGTAAAATACAGCGAAAGAACATGCTACTTAGGTCCCAGTCACATTATGTTTTGGCTACACAGGACTTGACATCGAAAGGGACAATTCTCAGAACCCGCACATTTCCAGGAAACCCACGTAGCTAGGTTACCATGTTCACTTATTTAAAAGACTTGAATGCCAAACAGTAATCGATTGTTGCTCAGATTGGGATCACATGATCCTTCAGAAACAGAACTTTCATCTGATTGGTTGATCTGTACCTAGAACAGAGTTTCAGCTGAGACATTTTCGGTGAGGTTTAAAAAAATGCCACATAGCTGCAACATCATTTCCATAGCTAGGCGAGACTTCGCTTCCAGCAGGCTCTTTTTTCTAAGAATCTTCCCTGAAAAGTATTTAGGAAATCAAATTTTCCAGGTGGATTCTTATTGCCTACTTACTTCTAGTTTCTTCTTAAGTTCTACTTAAACGGTTGTATAGCTACTAAGATTGTCATTTTAGTGAAGCTTAAAAGCCATTATCTCCATTACTGTTGTGGATCAAGGTTTAAGATGTAGCTGATTAGAGAAGTAAAGTTGTGTGGGCATGATTATGCAACTGAGTCAAATAATTAGCCAAATGTCTGTTTATGTTTGTCTTCCTATGACAGTTTAATTCTTTTACCCAGGTTGGCTAAAATTGAAAAGTTAGAACATTTAGACAATTACATCAGTTTACATGATGTAACAATAGCTGATTGTCTAGCAACAGAAGTTCAACTGCAGTTGTGACAACTATACCATTGTCTGAATGCTCCCTTACTGCCCATTGGAACAGTATTACTCTTTTTCCCAGATTTCAACATCTGTTGGTGGGCGATACATCTATGCTGTAGATAGACACTTTGAAGTAATTTCTTAATTTTCATTGGGACATTTTTGTGCATTTTAAGTAAAAATAAATTTCAGACAATTTTTCCTAATTTTAGATTATTTCATCAATAAATAAAGACACTTTACAAAACCAGTCAACATTTGTACTTTTTTACTTCTGATTTTTAATTATTTCTAGTATTTAAAAATCTATTGGAAACTATTTCCTAGATTTGATTTGTCAATATATAGCATGCATTGAGTGCTACTATATTATTATAGTAATATATGTATATTATTCTCCTTCTCCCAAGCAATGCCACTCCATTCAACAAAGAAGAACTTGCTGCTATACTAAAGTTTGGTGCTGAAGAATTGTTTAAAGAAACTGAAGAAGGTGATGAAGAACCACAGGTTTGTTGAATGTTTTCAGTTATTTGTATGTTCTCATTAGAATTCAAATTTTATTTCTTTTTTGTTGAGTCATGAATCATAAGTAATTTTTAATAATGTTTTATATCATAAGTGATTTTCTGGTTTCAAAATTTGTAACGAAATATTATAGGTTGATATTGATGAAATATTGAGCAGAGCTGAATACAGGGAAGACCAGCCCATGTCAGTTGGGGAAGAATTATTATCTGCATTTAAGGTTGGTATACTTTATTTCTCTCTTCTTATTTAATTGTATGTTTCTGTTATTTTAAAGCAATATGCATTTGTGAGGGGAAGGCATTTGAGATTGTATTAGATTAACACAAGTATGAAATGACTTCACTGGTGTATTTTATGCTATGAAAATACTTGATATAGATTTAAATTAGTGTTTTGATAAATACAAAATATAATTGCATTGAACTAAAAAATGACCATTAATAAAAATTGTAATTCTGGAAATAAAGTAAAACAAATTTTAAATAGCTTAATTAATCAAGATATTGTTAAATTTCAGTGAACATTTTAGAGAGATCCTAAATATTCATCTGTAATCCTAAATATTATAAATATAAATGAGATTTTTTACAGTGTAAATCAAATTTTAATACAAAAATTGCATACATAATACAAAATTGTATTCATATGTAAGTCATCTCTATCCATAATAAAGTTTCACATCTTTTTAAGGAGTGTAAAACTTCTATACTACTCTTAAAGTAGAGACTTTATTGTATTCTAGCATGTGTGCGTTTTTCATTTACGTCATATCTCCGGCTCTTTTTCTGTGACTTTTAATAATGTTCCACATACTCAGATTACTTGAACTTTGATTCTTGTCATAATCTAGAGAAACAAAAACACTGAATTATCCATTAACTTTAATTCCTTCATGCTGTTTCAGGTTTCAGTTGTTATACAATTCATCTTACTATTTAAATAGTTTGTAAAAAAAAAAAAAAGAAAAGAAAAGATCACAATATTGTTATTTTTGGTGATGAGTGTAGCTTTAGTAAAATAGATACAAATTGTGGCTTCAATCACATACTAATTCCATATGTTTGAAAGTTCAGATATACATTTTATAAAATTACTTTATATGTAAATTGACTGTTCTGATTACCTAATACTGTCTTCAGTAATTTTTTGCAGTATTTCATCATCAATTTTATATTACCTTTTGGTTGCAGTTTGGAAATTATACTGTAGAGAAGAAAAGTAATTTTTATAAGGCCTTTATTTATTTGTTTCTATTTTGGGAATGAAAAAGGCAATTTTTAGTTGTTATTTAGAGGGTAAGTATGGCAGTTACAGCAAGAAAAATTTCATGGTTCTCTGCAGCTACATGTTTGGCTCACTTTGATGCCAGTTTTTAAAAGTGTCAGTTGTTTTTCTCTTTAATCGCCATCCTACCCCTTCAAGTTTTAGTCAGAATTTGAAGGCAGCCTTACAATCTCTCTTAAATTTATTGTGCATACTTTCAGTGTACTTCTTGTCATTGATTGTAATTTTTTGTGGTATACTGAAAAAATAATTTTCATACCTACAGTAAAGATAGCTTATATTTAATATATTTCTAAAATTGCTTTTAGTGTACTATTTTTCCATTTGAGAAGGTCATTTAAGATCATATCTTTATTTTCACTTTTACCACAATTCTGTGTCTTTTGGTTGGCTTCTTGATTCTTCAGGGTTTGTTGAATTCGAACATTACCTATTGTCCTAATATTCAATGAGCCTACTTTTCTCTCTCTCTCTCTTCTTTTTTTTTTTTTTTTTTTTTTTTTTTTTAGTACTTGAGTTTCTAAAAGTGAATTATTTTTAACTCAGGCTGTGAATAATACACTTCAAAATAACGTAGCCATGCTTCATAAGTGCGTGTTTTTGTTCTTCTCAAGCATAATATCTTAACTTTATTGCTAAGTTTTTAATGATGGTTTATAAATTGTTTCTAAAATCTCAAATTTTTTTGCTAAAATCTTGAAATTCTTAGAAATTATTTTTATTGATGAATTAAACTTGTATAAAGAAAGAAAATTAAAGCTGCAAAGTCATATACTTAGTAGCTTTGAAAATGTATGTTACTGTAACAAATAACCCCCATTTAATAACAGTGGATGCAAAAGTTCAATATTATTTCTCAGTCATGTATTGTTAGCATGAGATATGACCTCTGAGAATTTGCAGTTAATATCCAGCTCATTTTTTCAACTGTTTTTGAAGTGTCTGTACATAGTCTGCATTTCTAGGCTACTGTCTTTGTTTTAAAGATTGTCAGTTAAAACTGAAAATTTCTTCTTTACTGAATATAAAGTATATGTTAAATATTTATATTTTATAGGTTGCAAGTTTTAATTTTAATGAAGAAGTAGTAAGTATGCAGAGTGTTGGTGATGCAAAAGATCAGTCGAATGAAAAAGAATGGGATGAAATAATTCCAGAAAATGTATGTTACTGTAACAAATAACCCCCCATTTAATAACAGTGGATGCAAAAGTTCAATATTATTTCTCAGTCATGTATTGTTAGCATGAGATATGACCTCTGAGAATTTGCAGTTAATATCCAGCTCATTTTTTCAACTGTTTTTGAAGTGTCTGTACATAGTCTGCATTTCTAGGCTACTGTCTTTGTTTTAAAGACTGTCAGTTAAAACTGAAAATTTCTTCTTTACTGAGTATAAAGTATATGTTAAATATTTATATTTTATAGGTTGCAAGTTTTAATTTTAATGAAGAAGAAGTAAGTATGCAGAGTGTTGGTGATGCAAAAGATCAGTCGAATGAAAAAGAATGGGATGAAATAATTCCAGAAAATGACAGGAAATTAATTGAAGAGGAAGAGCGGGAAAAGGAAGAATTAGAAATGTATTTACCTCCTCGAAGTAGAAAATTAGTTAAAAGGGTATGTATCTTGTTCTCCTCACTTTTATTGGGGGGAAGGCAGCTTTGTTTGTTCATTTGTCACTTTTATCTAATATTTCTTTCTATTATGATAGGTATCAAAAAATTCTGATAGTGATGCCAGCAAAGGAGATTCTGGCAGTGGCTCAGAAAAAGATGATTCAGATGAAGATAAGCCACGAAAAAGAGGCAGACCACGTATTGTACAGCGAGATGGTGTTAAAGGTTTTACAGATGTAGAAATTAGAAGGTAACTTATAAATTGTCTTTTGTAAATCATTTATATTAACAAAAATAAATAGTTCTGAGAACTATAGTTTATCATAATGTTAGTGAAACAGTTTTAACCTTTTAACTGTCATGCCCGAGATAATCTCGGGCACAGCACTGGTGTTCGAAAATGTCATGCCCGAGTATTACTCGGTATAATATTTTTTTTGAGTGCATCATATTGTTATACCCGAATATTTATCGGGAGACGTTTATTTCGGTTTCATTTCTTTGTCAAACCCGACTGTATCTCGGGAAAAGTTAATGTGCGCTCAATTCAATAGATGACAGCACTGTACTGAAGATTTCAAAGGTTAGAGGTTATAAGTTCTTTGGTTCAAAGTGCACAGGATCTTTTTGTTGTAAAATGGCATCCAGTTCTTTAAAACGTTATATGGATGATTTAGATTCTTCAACCGAAGATGAAGGATGTGTGTCTGATGAGCAGTATTCATGATACTTCCATGATCAGCCTCAAAAATAAAAAAAATGAAGATATACTCAAGGCCGAAGATTGTTTCTAACTATAGTTAAACTATGGGTGGTGTAGATCGCTGTGATTAGGAAATATCCTTTCATCCAACAATCCGAAAACGTGAGAAAAAATATTATAAAAATATATTTTTACATTTACTAGACAAGGTACTTCGGAACTCTTATTTACTCTATAAAAATGTAGTTGGGAAACGTATTACATTTTTTAGAATTTCGAATCTAAGTTGTAGAAGAGCTTTTACATAAATATGATGATGCAGCTTCTAGACAAAAGAATATTGGCAGACCACCTACAATAGATAACCCTGCCCGTCTTACTGAACAACATTTTATTTCCTATATTCCTCCTACTCCTGTGAAACGTGAGCCTACAAGACAGTGCAAAGTGTGTTGTTCGAAAAAAGATAAAAATGGGGAAAAGATAAGGAAGGAAACACGATTCTGGTGTAGTGATTGTGGAGTTGGTTTGTGCTTGGAAAAGTGTTTCCAGTTGTACCACACAAGACTGAATTATTGAACTACTAATAGGTATTCACTTTTATTTATTTTTTTCATTTATTTATTTTAAATTTTAGAAAATAATGTTTCACTAGAAGCGAACTTTACAACTGCCATGTTGAGTGGCAGCCGCCTCAAGCAAATACGCAGTGGCTACAAAACTTTAAAAATTTTACCCATGTACTTCAAAATATCAATTTTTAACTACTTAAGTATATTTTATTTTGTACTAAACATTTGATTTTTCCAATAAAAAAAATTTGACAATTTGTGTACCCAAATGATCAAAATAACTCGACAGTTAGAGGGTTAATGAGTATGCTATTTAGTTAAAAGTTATTTTAATCCCTTTATTTATGATCCTTAAGGTTAATTATTATCATTAAATGGCTCGATTTATTTCTTTGATCCATTTCTTGCTGGTTTTATAGTTTTGCATTATTCAGTAAAATTCATCCACCATATAGCCTGGACCTTGCATTATCTGACTACCATTTGTTTCAGTCTCTGCAAAACTCTCTTTATAAAAAATTGGCCAACTGAAGCACTGCTGAAAATCACTTGGCCAAATTTTTCAACAATAAACCACAGAAGTTCTACACTGATGGAATTATGAAGCTACCCGAAAAATGTCAAATATGTACTTTTTAATTTTTAAAGAAAACTTTTGTTCAAAAATGGGCCCAAAAAGTGTGGAGACTTTTTATATGGCCCAATAGATAAGTTTTTGTATAACAAGGTGAAATGACATTTGGATCTGGAATAAAACCTAAAATCAGTTTCAAATTTTCAATTATTTTCTTTTGGGAAGAAAATGCATTAAAGTACAAATCTTTTGTTAAGTATTTGGAATATTTTGTCATATAAAATCTTATCAGGAGGGATTGGGGGGGGGATTTGTTTTTTAATTAGTCAAAATTCAAATTCAAATTTTACATTAGTTTTTTACTGAAAACCTATGTACATTTTGACTGCTTCTGTCTCTAGTCCTTCTTTAAGGAGATAAATTGTATGCAAAATATCCATATTTATGCAAGGATTATTAAACTCATTAGTGTTAGCAAAGCTCAGTAGTATTCTGTTGGATATCTCAGCTAAATTAGTTTTCATTTTCAGCATTAATGACGAGCATTGAAAATAAAAATGATATTAACAGGAAATTATAATATTTTTTTCACATTAAAATTCATGTGTATGTTGTATTTTCATCTTGACCCATTTAAAACTAATTGTATATCTCTAAAACGTAGTGTTTTATTTTTAAAAAATTTTAATTAATCCAAGAAAAATCATAAGCTCTGAATTTTGAATTATTAGAAGCATATATGTCTTATAGTAATTATCTAATTTATTATTATTATTTATTTGTTATTATTCTGTTTTATTAGATGTTGTGTTATGTGTGTGTGTCATGACATCATTTTTAATAACAACATAAGTAGATGAGGATAGAATGAATATGCATAAAAGATGCGAGACATCGTAGTAGCCAATTTAACACTTTTTTATATTGAGAAACACATTTTTACATGAATTATGCAATTTAATGAATGAAATATGTGTACCCATTCATGATCACATTTGGGCCTTTTCAACTTCTGTATAAAAATGAATTTTGATGGAGGAAGGAGCTACCATTGGCTACAAATTTTCAAATTGGCAAGAGAAAAGTAATGCCCTGTGATCAGGATAAAGACTCATTTCAGCTTCATTCGGCTTTGTTAATTTTGAGTTTTGATTTTCAAATTCAAAATTGTTATTGGCTGAAGTGCCATTAGCTTTATGTAAGAATCATGTGAGAAGCATTGATTTTGAAATGACACTGTTAAGAGAGATTTATTTTATGAGCAATTATTGCTTTTAGAATAGGAAAGGGAAATAACCAAATTTAAATGTAGAATTAGGGACTATTGAAAATTTAATAAATTTGGAAAGGAATTTGATTTACTTTTTTTATTGTTTTATGTATATATATAATCTTTTGTTTTTCTCATTTTGTAGGTTTATTAAGAGCTATAAGAAGTTTTCTGCACCTTTGAAAAGGTTCGTTTTTTTTCCCCTCTTCTCCATGTATGTCTCCCCATCATTGCTTTAATCGTATTGTAAATTAAGAATTGCCTTTCATGTTAAAAATTAAAGCCTCAAAATATATGTGGGGGTATTGTTTTTCTTTATTATTATGGCAAAAGAGAGAGAGCAATAAAAAATGTCCATACTGTGTATTGCAATTTCAGTTCATATATGACTTTTTTTTTATTTAGTCATTATAATCATTATTTAATTTGGTCATTATTTTTTTATTTAATCATTGATTTAAAATTTCTTTAAAAGTCCACAAGTGATAATGGGGGGAATATAACCTCTGAGGTACTTTTTAATGCCTTATTTTATTGCGATTTTTATGTATTGTGAAAAACTTTTTTTTTTTTTTTGAGGAGGTTTTGCGGATAGACCACTCTGCTGTAAATGGCGTCGGATGGTATACGCAGACACTGGATGATGCGTTACAGACTGAATGTGCTGTGCTATGGTTCGTGATGTGACTGAGCGATCCGTCACTGCCATGCGCACAATGTTCCTGTCATCACGTGAGGTGGATGCGATCGAACACGTTGGTCCATCATACCCTCCTGCATCCAACTGTCACATATCTGCATTACAGTTGTTTGGTTTCGTCCAACACAACTACCGATTTCCCTGAAAGATAATCCACATTCTCGGTAGGCCACTATCCTTCCTCTGTCAAACTCAGATACTTGATCAAACGATGATCGCTGTTTCTACAAGGCATAATTGATCGGTGGTTTTTTTTTTTTTTTTTTTTTTACACAAGAAAAACACAATTGCCGAACTTGAAATCGTCAAAAACTACAAGCCTTAAATAACGCTTTGAAGTGGTGCCATAGGCGCGCGTGATATGCGTCTACACTGAAATTCTAATTTGCATATCTCGCCTTTGCTAATGCATGCTGTAAATTTCATGTTATTTGCATGCTTCCTTCAGGGTGTTGCATTTACGGTGGCCAGCAGTGTACGAATACAAAAATGAATACAGCCAAAAAGTTTATTTTAAATTACTTCTAATTCATATAACGATCAAGTAATTGCCAGCAACTGTAGTCATCAGTCAGTCTTTGGCAAATTGCTATGGATATGTAATAATCATTTGAAAAATAATTGATGAGCATTTGAATACCAAAGGGTGTACACATTTTGTTTTTGGGTTAATTCATAATAACATTATATGTATGATCTACGTAATATAAACGTGGCCAATAAATAATAAGAAGTGTGTGTAACAGCTGTGCATTTATAACATTTGATTACTTAAAGCAGTACACAACTGATTATCACCTTCATGTGTGTTTACATAACTTAATTGTACTTGGCAATTATGTGCATTGGCCTACTAGTGGCTGAAGCGTCGTTAAACACTGGTAGTTCTGTCTGAGGTTAGAATGCCGCGAATGGGCTGGCTACATGGGCGTTTTCTTGGGTTTTCCCCATCTGTAACTGGTATACGACCCAGTTTTAAAAAATCTTCTACAAAGGGATCCCTCGAGGCTTTGCCGTAATCACATAAAACAAACTCGTGATGTGCATCTCCTAATTTCTAGAGTTGGTATAATTAATGTTTTATGTATATTACTGAGTGTTCTATGGGACAGTGAATAACTTGCACATGTTTGATTGCTCATGTATTCATATGCTTTATTTAATTTTCATTTTGCTAAATAGTATCTGCTAAATGTGAGGATGTTAATTTCAGCCATATAGATTTTTGTCAAAGAAGGTCTCTCTCTCTCTCTCTCTCTTTTTTTTCCCCTGTTTGTTTATATTTATGGGCAGAACAGTAATTATGAGCCATAAAGTTAGTCAAGAAAATGCTTTCACCAGGTCACAAATTTTCATTGGAATGCAGACATCAGAAAATACACATAAGTAATGTCTGATAAATAGGCTTATCCAGCATACATTTTAAACTAGTCTTAGTTTATACAGAATTTGTCTATTACTGATGTAATTGATTGTTATAGCAGAAGTGTGTTTATCTGTTACTTGAAGTGCCAGAGTTCAGATCAAAGTGATTAACTTGATAGCAATCACCTTTCTATTATCTTTCATAACTAACAATAAAATTTAAAATGAAGAGTGTAAGCAATACAAAACATGAAGAAGCAAATATCATTTTCTCCAATCTGAGTGATAACTGATTCTTGTTTGACTTTCAGCCATTTTACTAAGTGAAGATGGTAACCTGATTTTGCGAAAGAGTGATTCTCAGAACTGTTCCTTTAAACGTTTTGGTCCGGCAACAAATATCGTATGTGATAGCAGTATTAGGATAAAGGGGAATCCCTTAAATTCTTGAACAATCTTATAATTGCAAAACTAATCACTAAATTATTTGGAACTTTTAAAATATACCTCAAAAAGTAAAGAAAAATGAAATGATACTTTTCAACAATTAGAAAATGGATGTAGATGTATCGGGTCAGTCCATAAGTTTGTGCGTATTAAGGTATGTGTGGAATTCACTATGACGCATTTACTAAAACAATACCATTTTGAACCTGTTGAATCTTGTCATTGTTTGACTAACATATTATTCAGTTCATCACCAACTTTCGTAAATATCGAACGCATTTTAGTACCCATAGAAGATGAATGTAGATAATCAGTACAAACGTGCTGTGGTACATTTTTTTATTTTCATGCGGTGAATCTGCCAGGTTTGCAGCGATAAAAATTAATAGTGTACATAGTGAACACACTATTAGTGTAAGGACTTCCCAGAAATGGTTTAAAAATTTTAATGTTGGAAAAAGCAGCATTGATGATGAATCCCGTTCAGGACGTTTTGAACTGTTAGAACCAAAGCAAGCAATTAATTCAGAAGTTTATAGTGAAAACCTTTGCTGTCTAAACTCAGAATTGATAATAAAAAAAAAAAAAAAAACACCAACGATTGGTGAATATCAAGAAAGTGTTTCATCATAATAATGCTAGACCACATATGGCTCAAACAATGCTGCAAAAAATTAATGAATTTAATTGGGAGCTTTTGCCACATCCTGCTTACTCCTCAGATATTGCCTCAAGTAATTTTCACTTGTTTCGTGCCTTACAAAATTTTTTTACTGGGGAAAAAATTAAATTCTAAACAGAATGTACACAATAAACTTTCAAGTGTTTTGCATCAAAACCAGAGTCTTTCTACAGCAATGGCATAAAAAAGCTGCCTGTAAGATGGCGAGACATTGTAGATAGTGGAGGGAAAAATACAATTGATTAAAATATTAAATTGTGTTTTATATTATTTAAAATTTTACCAAAAAATACGTACGAATTTATGGACTGACCCAATAATTTTGAAAAACCAATTCTCAAGTCTGTTTTATATTTTATCTATCCATATTTTGTTTCATATTACAGTATTTTGCTACAGCATTTTCCCCCCTACCTTCAGACCTTTTCTACCTGAATTTCATCCATTTTGTTTTTGTTGGTTATTGCTGACAAAGAAAACTTTTCACTACATGTTTTTAATAAAAAGCATGAGAGGTATTTTTTCCCTATATTATGTTTATTTATTTTTCTATAGATGTATTGATTCTATAGATCTCCATATTTGTATGCTGTGCAGATCGGAAAAATTTTTAATTTTAAAAAAAATAGTTTTAGTAGTATAATACATAAATCACTCTAGGTAATTTTAAATCTATTTAAAACCAATTATTAGAGTTTTGTAGGATCGTTTTAGTTAATTAAAAGACTGCTTTAAATTTTTAATTGTAATGATTTTTTGTCTTAATATTTTTTTTTTATTAGTTGATGAAATCAGAATGAAAAATATGTTTTGTATTTTCTAGATTAGAAGCCATTGCCATGGATGCTGAACTTCAAGAAAAACCTCTTGCTGACCTGAAAAAATTGGGTGAATTAATTAGAACAGGTGTAGAAAACGCAATGAAAGAACAAAAAGATAAAAAGGAGGTTAAGGATGAAGAACCTGGTATGTATTAATCAACTTCGAAAAATATTTTAAACTGCACTAGCATGGATTTTCTGTAAAACTGCTGTTTTTGAGAGTGACTGATTTAAGTCTGTCTTCAGGAGCAAAATCAATCACTGAAAAAATTGTATTCTGTAGCTTTAGATCCTTTTGTGCACCAAAAAATTTAGTTATTAACCAACAAGCTAATATTTTAATTTAAAGACCACTGCAAATTTATTAAAAATATATTTTTTAAAAAACCTTCAAAAGTAGTACAAGTTCTGAGTACAAGCACCCATGCTGGGGGGACTTTTATTGTCATAAATTTATCGATAAATCTTTGAAAAACACTAGAAGAGTTTCACAGTCCAAAGGGGACTGTAAGGAATTCATACTAACCTTCATGAGTAACAAATGCAGTATATTTGGTGCTTTGGGGATTTGTGGGAACATGAAAAAAGCCGTTTTTCAAGTCAAGATGTGTAAAGACTTTAGAATTCTATAAATTATCAATAATTTGCTCTGTGAGGGGTAGAGGAAATTTGGCTTTCACTATTTTCTTGTTAAGACATCAGTAAGCTATACCTAGTCTGTAAGATCCATTTTGCTTTTTGTAGAGGACAAGAGGGACAGCAAAATCAGAACAACTAGGTTTGATTATTCGTTCAGCCAGTACTGAATTTGAGCTTCTACAGTACGTTGTTCGGCTATGGATAATGGTTCGGCTATGGACATTGACTAACAGGGATTTCATCCATTAAAATCAAAGACATTCGCAAATCGGTTGTTTTGGTTTTATTGGGTTTGTAAGCAGAAACTAGGTGTTTGATTTGTAAGTGATGATTTGGATTGGTAAGATCAGGAGAATCAGGTTCATTGAAACCATTTACAATATTAATTAGAAAATTATGTTCAGAAGTTTCTGCTTCTATTAGTTTAATACCATGTTTTCCTATAGAAAATTCAGCTTGGTGGATACAATCACTTCCAATAATTGTATCTACAGATAGTAGATTATCGTCATTAACATGAATGCCAGTTTTGAAATTTGTGTTTTGAATTTTGAAACAACCTGTGAAATATCCTATTGGCTCTACAATGCAATCACCAAGTCCTGATAATGTTATAGAAGATTTTTGAAGTGCTGGAGAACCAATTTTTTTATGTGTTGACTATATAGTAGCTTGACTGCCAGTGTGAATCATCATAGATTGTAGGGGGTGTGACTGTACGAAAACTTGATTGAGAACTGTCTCTGATTTCTGTGACGATGGAGGTGATGCAAGACTTGCTTTCTGAGTACAAGTAGACAATTTATGGCCAAATGAATTGCATGAAAAACATTTAGGTTGTTTATGAGAACAATCAGAACTTTTATGGCCTTTAGGTTCACAATTGTAGCAAGCACAATTGTATATGTTGGGTAGCCTTCTGAGAGATTTTGTTTTCCGAGTGATGAGAATTATTTTGTTTAAATTTCATATCACTAGAAAATTTAATATGTTTGGAAGCAGATACAAGCTTTTCATAAATTTTTAACATATCTTTGAATTAACTTACAGTTTTACAACCGTATAATAATATTTTGTTAGGGTTTTCTGGAATACCATTTATCACATAAACAAAAATAGAAGATATATCAGTTTGACCTCTAGAACCAATTTCTCTTATAGCAATACAATAATGAGTGAGGATTCATTTGGCTTTAAACACCTTTTAAACATGAATTTATTCAAATCTGCACTGTTAAGCTTGGAAAATTTTTCTAACAAATATTCTTTTAACGCAGTAGAAGTTTTGACACCATGTAAAGAATATACAAAAGTTTTAGCAGAGCCTGATAAGCGTTTTTTGGTGAATATAATCTTGTGAACATCATTCGTAATGCTATTCAGCTGAAATAATTCTTCTAGGTCATTTAAAAAAGATTCAATTAAATTATTAGAAGAACCGTCAAAAGGTTTAATACAATTGTATAAATTAGGGAAAGTTATACTGAATTGTTGTTCATTTACCATCGATGACATTTCAGGTGTATTATTTATTCGATGTTTATGTAAACAAATACCAGGGCTGGAAGTCTGCACGTTTTGGCTAGCTACCAAATTCGAATAATTAATTGACTGTATAGTGACAGACTCTGTTTCGTTTTCGGGAATTAATTTTTGTTCTGGGTTTTCTACCTCATTGTCAGAATCGGAATCGGAAATAGTAGTATCTAATAACAAATCGAAATTAGTTAAAGCATTCACAATTGTAATATAACATTCATCAGTGGAAATGCCATATTCTAAATTCAGAACATGAAGAATTGAAATTAGATCTATCAAAGTGAAAATTTTTAATAAATATTCCTTAACTTCGGCAGTGTGAAAAGAACTATCTAGACCCTGCGCTTTCACGAAGTCATTTGCGATTTGCACATTCGCCTTCTTGACCAAACACAAATTTATGTAGTAACTTAATTGCTTTCATTCATTGCAGATAAAATTTAATATATGTAGATATTTCATACAGGGTCAGAAATTAAATTTTTTTAAGGTAAAGAATAAAAACAATTTTTTTGGGGGGGGCTGTGTCCTTTTGGACCCAGTTTTATCTGAATTCAATAGAGAATAGTTTAGCTGCATGGATATTTTCTTGTTTTTCCCATATGTAATATAAATATGAATCAACATGCTGTTTAGTCTTCTGGGAAGGCACTCCTTTTTATCAGGCAGATAACTCTTATGTTCTACACCATATTCAACAAACAGAATTGAATTTGCTTTTCGTATATATTTGTAGTTGTGAAGAAACGGGGAAGAGAACGTGGCCCAACATTTAAAGTTGGAGGTGTTTCTGTGAATGCAAAAACAATATTCTCATGTGAAAGTGAGCTGGAGCCACTTGATATTATTCTGCCTTCTGATCCTGAGGAAAGGAAAAAGTAATATTTTTAGTATTATTATTATTACTATTATTAAACTCTATCTTCAAAGCATATGATCAACCATGTAATTTGATTTTTTCTTTACAGATGGATTTTGAAAGAACACTGCAAAGATGCGCACTTTGATGTACCTTGGACTATTGAAGATGATTCTAAACTTCTTCGAGGTATATATGAATATGGCATGGGAAATTGGGAATCAATTAAAATGGACCCAGGGCTCGAATTAGGTGATAAGGTATTTATTATATACTCATTTTTGTCCATTGTTATAAGTAAGCAGATTTTATTATTGATTTAAATAAATCAAAGGTTCTTTTCCGTTTTGCCGGCACAAACTATAAAATTGCCAATAATGTAACGACTGATGCTAAACGGAATATCTTCGCTGGTAACCTTTTACACCTCAGTTTCAAAACAAGTCACAGCCATTTCTTATCAGATTGATTGTTTCTTTTAATGCTGGCATACAATTACATAGAATTTTTGCAAGATAGTTAAATTTTAGCCCCTAAGACAATTTGTAGTAATTAAATCAATTAGAATGCAATCACACCGCTCACCCAAAGGCGAAAATATAGAAAAGGCAAAATCAAGAGTTAAATTCATCAATTTTAATGAGAATGCACTAGCGAAGTAAAGCACTGTGATTTTACGTAATTTCTGAGTAAGCTACTCTTGCGAATTGAAATAATTCTTCCATTTAAACTTGTATTCCAAATTAAGATTTAACTTGAAATTAATGTAGATAATTACTGAGAGAATTAGATTTTTGTAGCGTAGTTTACGATGGGATCACGTGATACGAACCGGTGAATCGGAATTTTGAACCATGAAAGCATAGTAAATTCTTAAATTAATACCTTTATACGTATGTATTGGCTTTTTACAAAATTTTAAACCATATTAAAATGTTTATGCCTTCAAAATAAAAAATTCTTAGAATTAACATTTGTTAACATTTTTTATGTGTATGCTGTATGTTGTCGCCAACAAAGTCTGCTTGGCGAGATTTGTGCCAGTGAAACAGAAAAGTGCCAAATCAAATAATATGTTTCTAGAATAAGAAGTTAGAATTTGCATTTTATTGAGAGTTCAAATAAGTCTCCACTGTTTGGAAAAAAAATCGCCACGAGTATAGGGTTTAAATTGTCTGATGTAAAAAGTCAAATCATAAGGTTGGTCATATTTGCTTGAAATATTCTTGAAATATTAGCATTATTATAGCAACATCATACATTTTTTCATGCAAAAATGTTGAGTTTTCAGCTGATTGAATGTCGTATGCAAAGAGTAGAATGATGAAAGTGAAATAGAAAGTATTATTCAATGAAGATTCATGCCAAAGTGACTTGGCAAGCAATTTCAGCATTGTTTAAAATCATTAGGAATGATTCAAAAGTTCTAAAAAAATTGAGTTCTCTTTGAATTGAAGCCAAGAAACGTTGAGCACCATTTTTTTACATTTACACTTGAAATGTCGCTTACCAGGCATAAACAAAAAGGCCTTTTGCATCATGTAGTTACTGATAATGAAAAATGGATCCACTACAATACCCCAAAGAAGGAATTATGGGGACCACCTAGCCTTGCTTCTCTTGTTATTTTAATACCGCCTAATGTCTGGAGATTCAATGATTAATGCGATTTCTTTATTAGCTTTTTTTCTTTTTTTTATTAGCTTGTGTTCGCCTCTCAGAGTGTTAAATGACGTAATCTATGTTTTTGGGCAATTTGCCAACTTTAAAACTTCAGTTATGTATGAGTCATTGTAATGTTTATCACTGTTGTATGACCTTTCCATTCTCCTAATAAATGCTGTTATCCCTGTGATAAAGGTATAATTTGATTTATTTATATAGCAGCTTCAACATCAACAGTCAAGCAGAATATTCATGGAAAAATTCGTATAAATGGTGGGATCAATTTAGTGTCATGTATTTATGAATTGCTCAAACCAAATGGAAACATCGCTGGGGCTCTGTATCAAAACAGTTGATGACATTAAGCAAAGCCCTTCAAAAATATATATATATACTCACTACTACTCCAGACATGACAAAATTATTCTCCTGCATGATAATGCTCAACTACACGTTGCAGCACCAGTCGAAATGTACTTGGAAACACTCAAATGAGAATTTTACCCCCTTCCACAGTAATCACCAGACATTGCTCCTGATTATTACTTGTTTCGATTGATGATGAATCATGGCCTGTCTGAGCGTGGCCTTCGAGAAACAAGGCCGTCCAGCTCTCTCGTGACGTCACCGTATGGAGTGCGAAGAAACCTTTCTTCTCCACTGAAAGCGAGCGATTCCACAACGCGTTTATTTATTAGTAAAAGCCAATTTTATGTTATTCCGATGTAAAGTAAACAGGAAATTATTAAATAAGTGATACTATCTTAGCATTTAATTAAATATCATGCTTGAAGACTTCAGGTATCTGAGCTTATTTTTCTTAACGCTTGATAAAAATTTTCATCTGGGTGATCAATAATTATTTATTTCAATCCCATTTTACTTTCTATAGTTTGGATAAACTTTTCAACACTTAAACGCTATAATGCAAAAATGTTATGCTTTCGAACTGAAAATACTGCACATTATTTTTCATTTATAGTTAAAAATGAAAACTATGAATAAAAAGAGCATTTTAAAAGAACCCGATTTTTCTTTACAGCCTTTTCTAAGTAGTACATAATTTTGTCAGTATGGCGATAAGATAAAAGAACGAGCATTTTCGGTTATTACATTTATTTTTTAAAAACAAAATCTAGTGTAAAAAAGGTCTTTTACAATAAACTAAATATTAAAAAAGGCATAGTTCATCATTTATTTATTGGTATAAATAATTTAAAATGTAATTTTTTATGATAATTTTTAATGCCAGCATTATTTTTAAATGGTGTTACTGAAAAAATCCTGTTCATAAGAATAATTATTAAACTTACAGTGAGCAATATTCTTATAGAATAGAATCAAATTGAATTATTATAGAATCAAAACCAAAAATCTATTTTAAACTTTCACAGAAAATTACTTTAGTTTTGTCGGCTGTCTTTATTAAATAATATTTTGATTAAGATATGAATTCTTACTATTATCTGAATTACTCTTTAGCAAAATCTTGATATATCCACATTAAAATTTATGAAAATAATAATTAATTTTTGGGCTCTCTAGATTGAAAGTTGTGCCTGTAACTATGTGCGAGTTTTGATATAACTTTTTGAAACGGACACACTACAGAATTATAAATCACATTTTAAGTTTGCAAGGTAGTTAGCCGAGGTTCCCACATCTCGTTACCGAAGTGCACGTGGTAGAGCCTATATCATATCAGGGAAAGTGCAATGACAGTATAGGATACCGGACGTCCCTTGCACAAGCACTTCATCCCCCCAGTATATTTTATCTTTTTAAGTATTTATTCTGTTGCATCTATTTGAAACACCATATATTTTATAGCTCTTCCAAAATTTATCATTGCGCTAATGTGTGAAGTTTTCTTTCTTTTTTTTTTTTTTTTTTTTTTTTTTTTTTTTGGTAGTGGCTCGTTATCTTGAATTTTTGTCATCTTTTCTTTAACGGACTGTTGTTGCAACAAATCATTTCTTTTCTTACAATAGTTATTGAGCATTGCATTTGTTGATGATCAAATTATCATTTTTAGAGCTTTTTCAAACATATGCCCATTTTCACAACAATCTTGTTTTTTTAAAAACTGTTCCTTCATTAGATATTCTGATGTTACATTAAATGCTGCTTTCCTGTTGATCTTAAACTTATCCAAAATTCTTTTTTCGAAATCTGAACACAGAGTTTTGAATTATGATATAATTATAGAAAACAACATTTACTACATACTTTGACGGATAAAAGAGTTTACCACGGTCTAACATTTTGAAAAAACTGAAACTTTCATCAAATGCTAATTCTTTCTTTTAAAGAAAGGTAGTCTTCACAAAATGAGCATTGTAATTTTTTAAGAACACTCCTTAACACAGTATCCTGCTAAATATACGGACACACAGGCAAATAACTTTCAGCTGCTGCTATGTCTTCATCAGATATAAATATATTTAAAGACATTTCGTTATCATTTTTTCGTGTTCTATATGAAGTTTTCTGCAAGACTTAAATCATCAATTTCTACAATTCCAAGTTTTTTTTTTTTACTTTTTAACTTTATTTTCATCAAAGACATAAGTCGAATTTTATTTTCAATCTCAAATATTTGGCGTTATCAACAGGATGAGGATATTTTTTTCTAATCATGACAGCAAAAATGTTTCATTACATCTCTTGTAACAGAAGCATACAGTATTCCAAGTACAGTTTTGTTTAGATTTTCAAGGAATTCCCCCCAAAAAAAAACGCTATTTTAAAGCAAAAATATTAATATAAAAAACGTAATAACAAATTTATAAAAATGAAATTTTTTAAAAAATAGTTCTATGTTTTATAAACAACTGGTTTAACAATATTTTTTTCCAAGTTTTTTTAATAATTTTTTTTAGATATAATGTTAATTACAATTTTCAGAATAAACTTGAAAATGTGACAAAAAAAAGGGTTGAAAGGGTAATGTGTTTTCTTAAAATATTATAAGCACACGAATTTGAATTTTTAAATGAAAAACATTATTACTTTCATATCTCTAAAACTTAATGACAAGTGGTTTTAAAATAAAAGTCGAGATAAATTAGATATTACAAATTCTATTTTAAGTTCCAGATTTTGTATATTTTCCCGATTATTGCTTTATATTAAGCACTGAATTTTGTACTGAATATTTAATCTGCAGTATATGAAGTAAAATTTATTATACATTAAATAATACTATAGTATTATGAACTTAATTACCCATTAAAATATTCACATGCAATTTATGAAGCAACATGCATTTATTAAAAAAATTATAGAATTCACTTTAAGACAAATTGCAGGAAACAAAAGCTCATTATACTGCTTATTTACATTGGCAATGATTTATTATATACTTTTATATTTTACACTAGTTATTGTTTACTATTATATTTAACACTAGTTTTTCATTGGAAATGATTTTGGCTTTAAAAAAAACAGACATATTAAACATATTAAATATTTAATTTTTCTTTGAATATCAATGAAATCATAAGAATAAAAGCTCACCCTGCTATTTTTAGTTGGAATGAAGTCCTTTCGCTTTATTGCACGGATCCACTTTTCTTTCAGATCGGCATCATTATTAAAAGCGAAAATGTGCACTTTAGGTCCAGATTTGTAATTGCCGTTTAAATCGTGGCACTGAGCACATGTAAGGCATTATATTGTTTCTGGAACCACTCACAAATTGCCAAAAACCTCAAATTTAATATATCCAGCTGCAGGAAAATCAGGAATGTAGTTAATATCTCAAGATTTTAGGTCAAGAATTTCAGTTCAACCTCTTCTTTCGAAAGCAATGGCGACTGACAACCTTTGACCCAGCGTTGCCCTCATCCCACGAAGGGGTGCACTCTTCACCCCAAGAAGGGATGCACTCTCTGGAATGACGTCACACGCTCAACGTCACTGAGCTGTAAGGCCTTGTTTCTCGAAGGCCACGGTCTGAGCATCCTGAAACATTCTTCCAACATGGTTTCCATGTGCTGCCAGAAGAATGGGGAAAAGCAGTGACTAGCAATGGAGATTACTTTGAATAAAACATAACATACTGTTCTTTCACCGTAAGTGGCCAATATTTGATTTAAAAAAAGATGGAGACTTCTTTGTACTCCTGATGGTATAGAATTATTATCAGTATTGAATTAAATAAAAATAACATTTATATATTAAGTATGCATGAAATGTAAATTTAAGTTAATTCTATTGGAATGATTAAATTTAATGAAATATTATTATTGATTGAGTAATGTAGTTCAATGAAATGTTATTGTTGATTGAGTAATGTAGTTTAATGAAATATTGTTGATTTCATTAAGTTTAATGAAATATTATTGTTGATTTCATTATATAATTTATTGAAATATTACACTGAAAATATCAGAGTTGCCAGAACTTTGGGATCTCATTCATATCTCTGACAAAAATAGATAATCATAAATTTTCCAAACTCTTCCATCTGCCATTTATCTCTATATTAGTCACCAAATATCCACTGTTGATATTTTCCCAGGTTATACCAGTTATATTAATCCTAGGTTTAGATTCTTTTTATTATTATCATCTCTGTTAACTTTTGAATCAGCTAAGAAATTATTGCCAGGTTGTTGCTAGACTATGTCTGGCAAGTCAACACTCCAGCTTGTCTCATACATTCATGCAGAAACAATAAAGAGTTTATTCTAAACCTGCTGTGGTTGGAAATTGGGTTATTATTCAGAGTGTTAAACTGGGTTAGACTTTCATTGATTCATGGATGAAAAAGTCAAACTTTAACCAGTAGCAACATTCAGAGAATTGCATTGTCACCTTTAGGTTTAAGATCTGAAGCAACAGTAAGGGCTGATTATCAAATCAGAAAGCATCTCTTAAAATGCTAGATCATATATTAAAATTCATTGATTCAGAGTCTAGGGGTGATTATAATCTTTATTTTGCTCAAAAGTATATAGAAAACTAGGAGGTGAGGTGGGCATTCATTGGCCTGTGTACTAGAGTTAGGTGGGAAGATGTGTAACAATTACTAAACTTCTGTAACAATTTCCTTTGACAATATCATTCTGATTTTGCCAATCGTTATCTTTCCATATTTTCAATTAAATTAATGTACCCCCTTCCCCCCCCCCTTTGTAAAACGTGTGGCTTACAGAAAGACAATCAATTTATCCAAATAAGCAATGATTGCAGTTAATATGGATAACATAAATTCCACTGCATAAGAAATGCATTTTTAATAACCTATTTCTTATCTCTAACACAATTTTTTTTTGTCTTATTTTATAGATTTTACCAGATGGAGAACAGAAACCTCAAGTCAAGAATCTCCAAACTCGTTGCGATTATTTGCTAAAAATTCTCAAAAAAATGACTCTGGTTAAACCAGGACAGGTATGCATTACTTGTATTAAAAATTTGAAGTTTGTTGCAGTATTTTTATTCAATACTTGTAAAATAAGATTTTCCATTGGTGCAGCACGCCAGTTCTTTGGTGATCAACAACGGGCATCCACTGTGTTTCTCATCGAAGAAATTTTCCCTTCCTTCATTGAACATCATAACCCACTTTCAAATCATACCTTCATTCATTACGTTTTCTTTGTAGTCTGTCGCTAAATTTCACAAGGTTTTCACTAAATTTCACATTTCTCACATTAAAAAACTTGATGATGTCTTTTATTTTACAACTGGCGGGCCAGTCTATTCTTTTTAACATAATTACTGATAAACAGCGACCTTTAATAATTAAGAAGCTTCAATCTCAATATCGCTGATTATAATAACCATTGATTTTCAGTTTCCTTATTTATATATATATAAATATTTTTCAGCAGAAAATGTATTTGCTTATGAAAAGTCATTTAGTATTTATTATTTTAGAAATTATTAAAAATTTTAAGGCTGTTTGTAGTATTATTTTATGTGAATGACGATTGCTTTTATTAATAATAATTTTTTTTACAGTTTATAGTATAGTTCTCACTTAAGAATTGTCAAAGAAGGTAAACATTCAGTATTGTAGACACATGTATTGAAATCTGAACATCACCCAAAATATGTTAGCATATGTTTAAAAAAAAAGCTATCAACTTCACAGATTTTTAATCTTTGTAATAAAAAATAAGAAATTTTCTAGCATTTATGATGTAAAATAAACATTTTAATCACTATCTTGTGAAGTTAATTTTTATTCACTATTTTATAAGTTTTAAAACATGTTAGCAGAAAACGGAGTGTTTCAGTGCAGTTAAAAATGGTTTCTTGCTTCAGTGTTACTAATAAAATAGGAAATATAAAGGGGCACTTTCATCTTTTTCATAGACTTATACACGGTTATTTATATAAATAGTTAAACAGAATTTTTTTAACTTAGTTTCAAACAAAAAGTTTGGATTTTCAAACAGAAAACAAATGGAGACACAATAACACGCCAAATAAATACTAATTCAGAAGTCAAACAACAAAAATCAGCGTTATATTTTCAAAATTTCCACAGGACTAGTTTCGATGGTTTTACCAAACCACCATCCTCAGCTGCAAAACCGCAAATGAACAAGATTGGAAATAGTGATTAGATAACATAAGAAAGCCTGGGCAAGAATAAGCAAGCCAGAACTAAAACATAATTTCTTTAAAGGCCAAAGGCAAAGATGGATTGGAATTAGGATCGTTAACTAGAACAGAAAGATTTTTTTTTTTTTGAATGTGAAAAAGCGTCTAGAAAATCCAGTTTCCCAATGGAAGATGTTTTTTGAATAATTTTGGCAGCAGAAAAATTGAAAGTGTGATTTTCGGACCAACAATGTTGAGCAACAGAAGACTTCTGTGTTTCCTTTTTTCTAACATATGCCTCATGTTCCTTGACGTGAAATTTTAAGACTCTCTTAGTTTGGCCAATGTAAATTAAACCCCACTGGCAAGGAATCCTATAAATACCCCAGGAATACGTATCTGGAATGGGGTCCTTGAGTATGGAACTCTGAATTTTATTGATGGGGGAATAAACAACCCGAAAGTTAAATTTCTGTAAAATATGTGCAACTTTATAGCTAATTGATGGAAAGAAGGGAATGACAATAGAATTTTTATAATCTCCCAAAACAAGAGTGTGCCTTTTAGTGTGTTGAGATGAGAATTTTTTAACTGCTTGATTAATAATGTTGGGTGGAAAGCCCCTGTCAATAGCTATTGCTTTTAAATACTTTAGTTCTTCATCAAGGGCTAGTTTGGAGGAACAAACTTGAAGAAGAGCAGGAAAACATAGGAATAAAATGAAGCTAACTTTTGTTTTAGTTTTTTGTCGGATGACATGATTTAAAGTGTGGTGGAAGGCAAATCGATGAAGGTTTACGGTAAACCGTAGTACTGAAGTTGGATGTGTTACGTGTGACCAGAATGTCGAGAAACGGAAGAGAATTGCAAGTCTCAAGTTCAAAAGTGAACTGAATAGCAGGATCAATAGAATTCATTGTTAAAAGAACTTTATTTAAATCATCTTTATTACCTTCAAACTGGGTAAAAGTATCGTCTACGTAGCGGAACCATGCCGAGAAGTTTAAAGTTTCAAACAACTTTGATTCATAATAATGCATGTAAATATCAGCCAGGATGGGACTGAGAGGGCTTCGCATGGCTAATCCCTCAGTTTGCTTGTAATATTTATTTTGGAAAACAAAATGTGTTTGTTTGAAACAGAGTTGAATGAGAAAAATTAGCTCATCAATTTCAATGCAAGAGAAATGAAATTCGCGAAGTCTGGTGTCTAGACATCTTAATGCACCCTCCATAGGGTGTTATAAAGTACATTTACAATACAAAGTCTTTAATCCGGACTTCCAAAGCTATAAACTTTCTGCTCCTGCATAAAGGCATTAATGCATTTGTGCATGGGAATATGCGTTTATGTATGCGTAAAGGTATTATGCGGCTGGCTTATATTGCCGTTATACATTAAGCACGCATGCGTAAACGTATTATGCACATTAATGCGTTTATGCTTGCGCATAATACCTTTACTCATGCACATTTAATGTATAACAAACTGTATAAGCTAAACTAAAATTATCTAATTATCTATTTCAGTTAATGTTGCAGATTGCATTGTTGCTTAATCTTCTTATTGGATCCGGCTTATTATTTTTTGCACACTGTTAGAGCAGTTTTATAAAAAGTAAGCTTGAACTTTCGATTATGTCAAAAAGAGTTTCTGATTCTGGAGCTGCCAAAGGATCTACAAAGCGAAAGCATGTTTCGATGTCCATCAAACAAAAACTGGAATTGCTGGAAAAAATGGATAAAGGCATATCCGTCTCAAAATTATGTGAGGAATGTGGCATTGGATGACACAAGAGAAAAGGAAAAGGAACTTCTTGAATTTTTTGTGGAAGCATCTAAACAACTTAACATTGAAAGAAACATTTAATAAAGTAACCAAATAAATATTAAGCTTTTTTTTATATTTTTACCCTTTAGATCATAATTGCTCTTCATTTCATAAATTATGGTTTCATACTTTTAATTTTATAATTTCTACATGCCATCTTACCAGATTTAAATTGATGATCTATAATCAGGAAAAAAACGGAATCCAGAATCGCCGAAGTCTCGACGAGTCCGGATTAAAGACTTTGTACTGTATTATAGTGCATTTTGTGAAATTTTCATGTTTCATTTGATTTTAAAAGTACTTTGCAATGTAGTCATTATAAAGAAAGTTTTTGTAATGTTTCACAAATATTTTATAATATAACTGATTTTTGTTTCCTGATTTTATGAACTGATTTTCAATGTTTGGAAATATTTTCAATTTAGGAAATACCTAAAACCAAACGAGGCCGTAAACCAAAAGCTGACAAAGTTGTGTTAAGCAAAGCAATTATTGAAAATGATGATAGTGATGCTTCTGTTAAGTCTGTAAGTATTTGCTTAAATTAATTGTGGGGTGTATGTACTGTAGGCAGATTCTATAAGAAAGAAAATAATCTAAATTCTTTTTAAATTTTTGAATAATTCTCCAGTATTAGTTTTCAAGAAATATTGTCAAGAAATTTTTTTGAGTTGATCGAGTTATTCAAGTACTCATTCATCTTTGTTATAAAACAATAAAATGTTAATTATCTCTGCTGATGTGTTGGTTATAAAAAAAGAAATTATAAAGTGTAACCATTTCTGTTGTTTTCCGGATCCAAAATGGAGTTATTTTATGTCAGTGCAAACTTACTGAAAGCTTATCTAAAGGATTCTGATTTTCACTGCATAAAATTTTGGTTATAAATTAGTAATTTAAAAAAATTTTTTTTTTTTTTGTTAAAATATTTAAGTTATTTATTTTAATAATCAAATCACTGGTATTAAGTGAAATTAAGTAAATGTGTTTTCCTTTCACTAAGGAATAAATTTATCTGAATCTATTTTTAAATTTTAAGCTGTGCATGTATTAGATAAGAATTCAGGGAAATATAATCATAAGCTTTAAAATATAGTGAGTAATATAATTGTATTAAAAAATAGTGATTTATATAAATTTTAAAGATTTTTTATTTCTAATTTAATTTTTTTTCATATAATTTCTTACTGTTTTTAACTTGAATTAACTTTGAAATTGGTGATTCTGCCTCCTTAATTTTAAATCTTTAAATACCTAAAACTAAGTTATGTAACCCTCAATGTTGTTAGCACAGTCTACTTTGTTCATTAATTTTATTTGAAATTTTTAGACTTCGACGAAGGATAACAAAATACGTAATAAAAAGCCAAAAATAGAAATCTCTGAAGATAAACCTACTAAAGAAAACACTTCCATGGCTTCAAAACCAAGTAATTTATCTGACTCTGAAATCCCATCTAAAAAGAAAAAGAAGGAAAAGTCAGAAAAATCTAAAAAGAAAGTTTCTGAGGAAAAAGTAAGTTTTTTAAAATTGGATTCATATTATAGATATTTACTTTGTAAAAAAGGAAATGAACATTTTCACATTATATTCATATTTATGAACCCCCTCAATAAGTCAAGAGTATTTAAGTAAATAAAACAAAAATTTGAGTAATAATTCTCATTAAGCATGAAAAATATAGACTAAAGTGTTTAGATGGAGGAACAGAATAAAATAATATATGTCATTTGTTGTGAAGAAAATATTTTAAAATTGTTTAATTATTTCTGGAACAGCTACCAATAATTCCATATTCACTTTGATACTCATTATTGTTTGATGATATTCCTCAGTAGGCAACTTCTTTGCTGTCACTTTCATCATTAGTATTTGTATTAACAGCATTGAAGTTCCTATTATTTCAGCTGTTATTGTTTTGCCTAAAGTAAATAGAATCAGTATCAAGGTTAGAGTTATCGCCCATTCATATCACTTTTCACATACATCCTACTTTTAAAAAAATTGTGCAAATGTAATACTATCCTGTACATCAGTCTCTTTTCACTAACTTCCAATGCACAGTCTTCAATAAAAATTGTACATATTTAGAACAATATTTAATACTTTTCTCATAGTTGTTTCTCCAACTACTGAAAATGTACTCAATGGCATCAAAGACCAAATGGCAGAAATTGTATCTCTCATCAGTGTTTTGATTGTCTGTGGTGGAACTTTTAAAGATGACATTTGAAGTTCAGGATGATTTTCTTCTAAAATTTTTATTTCTCATTTATTTTTTTTTTTCTGCCAGTTCTTTAACTGCTTCTAACGAGATAATAATAAAAAAAAGAACTGTTACTAAACATTAGCTTTTTATGTAACAAGCATACATCATCATTTTCAAAGCAACTTGTGTCAGATATTTACCATTTACTAGAGACTTCAGTTTCCTGGTGCTAGTCTTGTTATCGCCTAACAGTAATTTAATCTCATCTCTTTTTGTTTCTGTAGTGAGTGCTTTTTAAAGTGAAAAGGTGTCTTTTTTTAATAAATGATTGAAAAGTAAAAAAATTAAAATAATGTCATTTTATTTAAAAGTATCTGAAAGTTTGTGCAACGGAGAATATCTTTGGGAATGTAATGTAGTGTGAAGAAAAACTTTGGACCAAAAGGGATCATGTTTTTTTCTCTCTCTCTCTCACCTTTCTCACATCATGGATTTGAATGTCATTTTAAAACACAGAGTTAGAATTTCAGTTTTTTAATAACCAACATATATTATTTAGAAATAAATAGTAATTGATTGGAATGAAGAAAAAAAAAAATTATTGGTGTAAAAAATGGCTTAACTTATTGTAGTCTCCTGCCTTAAAATGGGAACTTCAAGGTTATTTTCGTCCACCCAATTTGATTTTTGATTATAGAATCAACAGCTGCGGGAAAAGGTGACTCGCTTAATTTCCCACCAACTCCCCCCCCCTTTTTTTGTTGTTGTTTGTTTGTTTCTTTGTTTCACTTCATGAAAGACACATGAATGAATGCTGACTTGAAATGCAGTTTCAAATAATATGAAGAAATTAAATGCTGCACAGTTCAGTGAAATTTGAATGGCCTATTCTAAAATAATAGACTATGAAGTTTGCCCATATGTACTATAAATGCGAGTTTTAATATATTTAGTCCCTTTCTTTTTCAGTTACTATTTGTGGATATATGTTGATTATTTATTTATTTTCTATTATAGGCTGCTGCATCTCAAGTTGTTAAAGAAAAGAAAAAGAAAGTACCTCCTGTCATGCATTATACAGCTAATGCAGAACCTCAGATAATTGATGATACTGAAAAAGAGCTGGATGATGATATATTCATTGAAGTAATTAGTTATATATGCATCTCAATACCCATCTATTAATTGCATTAGTATTTCATTTCTGGCATATTTAAACTGTGTTGTAATTGTTGAACCTGTTAGCTTCTAGAGAAGTATTTTATTTGTATTGCATAGCTGCCAGTTCTTCCTGTTTATCATCACATTTCATATTTATAATAATAGAAATGTGAAGGTTTCATATTATTTATAATTTTCTTAGATTAGAATGTGGTTATTTTAAAAACGCATTATATTTTCTTTCAATAATGCATTCTCAATAACTAAATTCATTTCTTTCAAAGGCATTTTCTAAAAATAATTAAAGCATCTTTATTTATATGTCTGAATACTGCATATATGTCAGTACATTCAAACTGAACATTACACATGATTCTTGATGAAATCCACACTTCAAAAATAAATAAATAAAAAGAAGCAATGTATATAATTTGTCAAACTGATAGCTCATTTTTGGGGGTGGTATTGTTAAAGGTGGTTCATATTATTTATAATTTTCTTAGATTAGAATGTGGTTATTTTAGAAACGCATTATATTTTCTTTTAATATTATATATTGATATGGAATACTTTATATATTGATGTGGAATACTTTAATTTTATTATATATTGATATGGAATATTGATTATTTATTATATATTGATGTGGAATACTTTAATTTTTTCCAGTGCAAAGAGCAGATGCGACCCGTAAAGAAATATCTCATGAGGCTTGATAAAAGTAAACTAGAAGAGTTTAATGCAGATGAAAGAGAGAAAAGATTTGCTCAATACTTACTAAAAATTGGACGCAAAATATCAGAAATTTTGAAAGGTTACAAGGATCCTGAGAAAGTCAAAGCATGGAGAAGGTATATTTTAAAATAGTGAATAAGAATTTATAGTTTCAAATTTTTTCATTCTGACATTTTCAACTTTATTAATGCATGTGAACTTTATTATTTTTATGCCTTATTAGATTGTTTATAATCTGAGTTTTCACTGCATGAGCTTAATGTTATTTTTTCCCCTTGTAAAATTATTTTCTGTAATTTAGCATATAAATCAAAGTAGTTTGAAACTCTCCCCCCCCCCCCCCCCCTTTTTTTTTTTTTTTTTTTTAGTTTCATATTTTCAGTGATGAATGAACTGCATTAGAAATAAAGTTTCTTTAAGTTAGGATTTTTAGAAAAAATGATGTAAAAATAAGTTATTGCAACTTTTAATTAATAACTCTACCAAACTAAATTTTGGTTCATGTTGAACCAGTAGAAGGGATCAGAAAGCTATTTTGCAAAATCCCTAAAATCATTTGATACTTTTTATGAGGATTAGTGCATTGTGAAATTAAATGTGTAAAGTTATGTGAATTATTAAAATATGTAAAAAAATTATATTACCAAAGTTTGGTGCAATTTTTTAATCAATAATTTATAAGTGGTTCACCATAAGCATTATATTGGCAAGAAACAGATAATTTAATTGCAACTGAAATAGCACTTTTGTATCTTGAGCATTGGAAAAATTTTATATTTGCTTATATTTTAATGGAAAATTTATTACAGAACATAAGGCAGGAAACTTTTATTAAAAAAAAACTGTAAAATGCATTTAAAGGAATTGAAGCCAGTAAAATGTTTTACGAAATTATTTTGTTTTTCGTGTGTTGTATGATATTTTGTTGACATTAATGTGACATAAGCCATTCATATTAATGTCCCTTTTGATTTTAGTAAAAGTAAGATAGTTTTTATAAAATCTCATAAACATATTAGTTTAATTTCTTGTGCAAAAAATTTGAAATATATCATTGTATCTATAAAACTTCCTGGTTAAGAAAATAAAATTCTCTCAAAATCAAAAGTTTACAGGGTTCGTACGGTCCTTAAAAGTCCTTAATTTTTTCAAAAATGTTTTTTGATTCTTAAAAGTCCTTAATTTTGGCCAAAATGAATAACCGGTCCTTAATTTTGCTCATTTCGCTAATGATTGCCATTCTAAGTGTGAATTACGATTTCTCATGAATATGGAATTAAAATTGCACGGCTCTTAACCAGTCTGTTGGCGGATTTGCGTTGCAAACGATAAAAAAAAAAAAAAAAAAAAAAAAAAAAAAACCTCTTTTAGCTACCCGAACGAAAGTATCAGTGTCTGATTGGCTATTCACCAAATCTTTCGAAACAGGTGTTATCCATAAATTTAGGCAGATTGTGACGAAAGCGTGAAGCTGGAAGTTCTTTAAGAGGCGAAAAGTGGATGATGAAGGTGCTCGAGAAAAAAAAGGGGGGGTGGATTCTGAAAATATTTGCCAAAATTAGAGCAATCCCAATGTGGAAGCCCACAATCCTTCCGACGCCAATAGGAACGAGATGCCTGGAAAGTGCATTTTCAATAAACTGTGGCTTCATCAAGCTGACTACAAAGACTGGATATTGATGTATGGCAATCCTTAAATGTGGTCTTTGTCTGAAACAAATTGAAATTTCTAGAATGGGAGAGTCAGCGCTGAAAATTCACATGAAAATTAAGTTTCGTTTTATCATTTCGATTTGTTTTTACACGGTTTTGCTTAGCTCAATTTCTGTGTTTATTTCAATTAAGCCATGAATTGATTTTTTATCACCTTTTGCGGAGTTTATTCTCTTTTGCACATATTATATGTATGGGATATCGGGATTAAGAGTTTATTTCTGCAGCTTGTCTGTTATCGATTTTGCGGGAAATCTTTTGGCTCCATTTCGACTTTAGGTCGCCAAGGGCAAATTTGGTAGTGCTAGCCAAGAAAAAGTGAAGTTCGGAAATACGTTTTGAAGCTTCAATAGACAATTAAGTATTTGGTTTAAACCTATGTTGTTGATAGTAATGCATAATTTTTGCTAATGGTGATGCAATTATGAGTTGAAAATAACTAATTAAAAATTTTTTAAATATTTTTAAAGCTGAAAACAACTAATTGAAAAACTAATTTTCCTGAATTAACTAGACGCAAAATTAACTTTCATGAATTACTAAAGTTATTGGGTAGAAGTTTAACTGAAAATATACTTTCCTTATATATATATATATATATATATTTATACAGTGTACAAAGTCCAGGTCTGGAGGTCGGGACTTCGGCGATCCCAGATTTGAGATTTTTTCCGGATATTAGATCATTTTAAATCTACTAAGATGGCACGTAGAAATTATAAAATTGAAAATATGAAATCGTGATTTATGAAATAATGAAGCATTTATGATTTAAAGGGTATCAAAATTTACCAAAGAAAAGAGCTTAATATTTATATGTTTACTTTAATTAAACATTTCTTTCAATGTGAGTTGTTTGATTTGCTTCGTTTTCTCTGCTAATACTTTAGACTAATTCTAATATAGACATATAATTTCTTGTTCAGTTATTAAGTTCCATTGTTCAAGTCCTGTAATTGCTGTGTCAAGAATTCCAAATAACTTGTCAATCAAAATTTTTTCTCATTCAGTAACCTCTCTGTTACTTTCTTCACTATCGGTAGCTGTATTTTCTGGATTTAGAACCATACTACAGATTTCGCCCCCCGTTAATTGATTGATAATTGGGCATTGTCATCGCAATGAAAAACTTGTTTAACTTCGCTAAATTCTGCTGCCTGGTACGGCCATGTGAGCTCTGGCGCTGGTTCTGGCTTTATGTGAATAACAAATTAGTTATTCTTAATTCAAATAGCACTAAATATAATCGTTTGTCCTATGAGTATCATTAACAAAATCTATTTTTAGCATAAGGAAAGAAATTTCTGCTAAATCTTCCCTTGTCAACATTTTAGCGCATTAAACTTAAATCTGTAATCGGATAATACTCTTTATTATTTGGCGTCGCTGCATGATTCATCACTCAAGTTGTCATCCGTTGATAAACATGCGGTGATGAAAGCAAAATACAATAAATAATGATTCGCGATTTCGGCATCAAGGATATAAAATATTAGTTGGTGTAAAATTAGCAAATGTTTCGGTTTGCGATTATGCCAAGCAGATACGCAGCTATGGAGTCAAGTTACTAATCACACAAGTTTATGCTAAAATAATTATTTCTTCAATAATGAGATATTTTATTTAGTGCCAAACTGAGATTAAGAATCGGGATTTCCGGCATGTTTTTTTTTTATGATGAGGAAAAAAATCTAATGCGTGTGCGTAAAGCATACCCTTTCCCTTCAAAAAAGCCCTAAAAATTGGTTGGTGGTGGCTTTGAGGTCCGGATTTTAGATCATTCCAGATATTAGATGTCCGGATCTCGGACTTTATACTTATATATATATTACATCTTTCAAAATATAACTTACCAGTATGGATTCACTCTTTTAAAATAATTCTACTTTAATTAAACTTAGGAGATAATATAATCAATTAATCAATATTGTTTAGGAAATAAATTATATATATAGTAAAAAATGTATATTTCACTATTCAAGTATTCACTGTGACAAGTATTCTTATCTTGTCACATGAACAGGCCTCTGTGGAAAGGGGCTTCTCTGTAAATAAGCAATTGAAATTGAAAATTTAAGTGACTCATCATACATTTTTCAACGCACAGTATTTGATTACATAAATTTTCTGGAGGTGTTCTTAATATCGAAATTAATAAAGAAATGAGATCAGCAGCAGCTTCTGCAAGAAGTGGAGTTCGTTATTTAGAAGTTCAGTATTTAGAAGAACAAAATCTTTTTAACTAAATCTGAAAATTCAAAGAGGAAAGAAATATTATTGAAGGAAGAAATTGATTATATGAAGCAGAAGAAAAAATTTCTTCAAAGGGACATTAAAGACATTAATGAAGAAGTAGATGCTTTAGCAGATAAAGCTGAGACCAGCAGGAACATTGATTTGTTTATCAAAGCAAATGAACTTAGAAGAATAGTTAAAGAAAAGGAAATAGACATAAATAAAAAGATTGTTAAAAGCTGAAAAGATTTCAGATTTAAAAAAAGCACAAATTGTTTGTATCTTTTATTGTACAGTTTATTATTCTAGTATCTTTCAAAAACCAAAGGAAATAAATTGTATGTTTTACTGAAATCAGTTATTTTAATCTGCAAAATATTCTTACATTGTGATTTATAATAGTAGTTGACTGTGTTTGAATAAATATCAAAATAAGTTAAATAAGTAATCATGTAAATCTCTAAAATACGTATGACTGTTATTAGTGTAAAATACACTTATACATGTTTTTCAAGAAATTATGTTCCTAATTTAATGTTATCTACTTCTGATAACTTGTAGGGAGTTAGTTTAATTTTCAAAATTGTTTTATGTTTTTGATAAGTATATGAAATTGAATTTAATTAATAGTGCATAATACACACTTCTGTTAGTTTCTTAAAGTGAAATTACAAGCTTGAAGTCGGTTTGTATGGATAATTGCTTTATTCTATTCATTTTTTTGTTTGCTGATAGGTCCTTAATTTTTTCTTTGATGGTCCTTAAAAGTCCTTAATTTTCATGTAAGGAAATGTGTACGAACCCTGGTTTATTATTTTAATGCCTCAGTCAAGATTTTAGTCTTTGCTTTCTTTGAATGTTTAATATATCAGCAGTGTGTATTTTTTTTTTACATATGTAATAAATTTAGATGCTTGTTTTCCTCATTGTATTTTTATTATATATTTGCTGATTTATTCTTTTCTCCTCCAGTTATTTATGGATATTTGTTTCAAAATTTACTGAGCAAAATGCCAAGCAATTGTATAAAATATATCGTCAGTCAATCAAAGATATGGAACTTGTTCATCGTGCTACTGAAGTAAAGAAAAATGACAGCAAAATGGAAAGAAAATCCATACTTGATGTGAGTAACCAAAACCTAAAATTTTTAACCTAAAATTTAAATGTACTTAATTCTAGGGTGAAGTGTACAAATTGCTTGTTGTATTCGTCAAATGAGAATTTTTGTTGTTAATCATAAAACATGGAGCTTTTAAATAAAAATCTCCAGAATTACTTAATGGGCGTAAAAGTGTGCAATGTAAATAAAATAATGACAAATCAATCATCTGTAAGCATTGGAATTTGTAAAGCAATGATTGTCAAATCACAGATCAGCAGACTTTTGAGATTGGTTTTATATTGGTATTTAGCGTAGTATTAAAATTGTTTCCAATTTTGCTTTTAAGGAAACACTTTATATTGAATATTTATTGCTTTTAAAAGTCTCCTATACTGCTTTTAAAAATCTGTTACATAGAAACTAAGTATATGTGCTTGTCCTTGCAGGTTATCAGTTTATAAATATAACTTTCAATATTATTTTTCATTGAAAATAATGTTTTCAAGTAGAATTTTTCTTCCCCCATGAGGCTGTAGGTAGAAACTATAGAAAGTGTGAAAATGTATTTTTTAATATTAACTATTATAATTTTTTTCCTTATTAAAATAGTGTCAGATTCATTATGATCTTTTATTGTTAATTTGAAAAGTTACATTTAAGGAATTTCACATTTTGTAGAGCTTTTTAGGGGTTCAAAATGAGAGAGGATGTCATGATAAGATTTAAAGATTATTTTGAGAGGCAAGTTATTTAAGATGAAGAAAAAATCAGTATTCTGCTGAGTGTATGTTTAAACATAAAGCAAATTTATAATAAATTCAGGTAAATTGGTGTCCAAATGTGCATCGTAATTAGTAAGGCATGTCAAATAAATAATCGTTGTAATCGAAACGGGGGAAAAAATCAAATATAAATTATGCATTGATTTAAATGACTTTCTGCACTCTTGCAAATTTTATCACTTGCGTCGTTGCACAAATAAGATGCAGATTATGCTATTCCATAAATACAGTTGATTATAATCATTTTTATATGTTTTGTCTAAAATTTTATTGAAATCCCCTGTTTCAGTAATTTTTTATAAAAGAAACTATCTCTTTTTATCTAAAGTTTTTTCCTTTTGATTCATATTTAACATTTCTTGCTCATTTTTATATAGACTAGTCCAAAGAAGCAAGTGCCTGATAAGCAAAGCAGTAAACATAGACTGCAGGAAAATCCTAGGAAAAGAACATTATCTGAAGATTCAAGCAAAAAAGGTGAACGGCCATTGAAAAAAAAGTATACTGATAATCATCCTGAAAGGAGAGAAAGGTAACTTTTGTCTAACAATTAATGCTTAACAACTTATTAATTAATGGAATTAAAATGATAAATTTTGACTTGGGTTTGGTACTGGAGTTCTAATGAATTTTGCATCAAAACTAAACTGATGAAGAATGTTTACTGTATTTTTAGTCCAAAGGGGCTTTGTTTGTCCTGAAGGGCTATTGTTTTCATTTTGTGATTTTGCATCGGAACACTATAACTGTCGTATCATTTTTCAAATCGTTGCCACCAAATACTAACGCCCCGTATTATATTTGAAAAAATAAAGTAATGAAGAATCTACATAAATGTATGTATATTTCTCGCATTGTGATAAAACAACGGTGTGTAGAGCCATTGAATTTTGAATAATGTAATCCTACTGCAAATATGGGCATTTGAAAGCCCAAATTTGGAATTTGTTTTATCGATTTCATATTTTGTAAAACTTTAACGAATTTTTCATTAACAAACTCAATGATTTAAAAACGAGCAATGGCAACACTATGGAGAAGAACCTTTTTATCTCCAGTGTGCGGAACTGTGTATCGGAAATTCTAAAGATATGCTCATTTTAAAATTATTTTGCGACATTGCTGTTGAACTGAATTTTATAGTTTAAGTGCAAAGAACATTATATTTAATAAATAAAGGTAACACACAAAATGTTAAAAAAATGCCCCTTTGGACATAATTTAAAATCTGAAACTTTTTTTCTTTTTTTTTTCTAATGTTCAGAAATAAATCATTTATTTATTTAATAATGTTAAGTTAGCATTTCTTGGTAAAATTAAGTAGCCCATTTTAAGATAATTATTGTATCTTTAATTTTTATGCTTGAAGCTTTGAAAATACCAACAGTAACATTCTCAAAAGTTTACTTTAAGTGTATTTTGATATTCCTGTATAAAATAGCATTCCTAATATTGTTTGCTGTCAGTTTTTTATCTTGTGTGTAACCTCCATGGGGTCCCATCGGTAGCCTAATGCGTAAGATTTCTGAACATTGGTGATTCAATCTGGATATGAATCCTGGCAAATAAGTAGGCTACTTGGATGTTTTCTGAGCATATGGGTTTCACTAGGCATTAATATTGTCTGAATGAGAATTTAATAATTTTGTTAGTTTGCATGGTTCATTTTCTCAACCAATCATTATGCATGTATAATGAATATGCATACACAGTTGTCATATACTTTTGTGCAGTCATCATAAATGACATTGTAAAACGAAATAGCATTTCAATGAACTCCTGTCTATTTCTTTTGTATGCTGACTTTGGTTTTATTTGATCATATTGCGCTAGATTAAAGAAACTAAATGTTCCAGATGCTACAAGATAATCCTGGATTCTTTAAATACTTTGAGAGTGCATTCTGCTAATGTTACTTTATGTAGTCATAAAACTGTTTTTGTGAAACTGAATAGACTTATGTGTATTAGACAAATAATTGTATGTAGGCATATGCTTCAGTGAGATTATATGGTTGTCATAAAAAATAGTTTGTAAAAGAATTTTGGAATTTTAAAAAAATGCACATATAAATCATCTAAAATCTTAAAGCAGTTGTCTTCTTCAGGCATTCTTTACAGGTGACTCCAGTAGGAATCTTTCAGCTATTTTAACAATCCCTTCCAATTAATCATATAATTATAAGACATAAAAGTGTTAACACATTTGATGCTGATAATGCAGTGGTGCATAATTGGCATTGCTACTGAAGAGCCAATCACATGCTGTTATATGGTGTGGGAAGATGTCTCAGGTGCCAGTCAAATGCTGGTATGGGAAAAGCAACATCTCATAACTTATTTTCCCGTTCAATCTGTGTTATGTTTTGAATATGTATGCTAGTACTGCCGTGGAGTGAAAGTTAAAAATTAGTTGTAAATGTATATGGTATGGAATGATACCAAAGTTTCATTTCGTGCAAAGATAAATACTTTAATAAATAACATTCTGAAATATATAGCTTCTAATAATCTTGTATTGTATCTTGTAATAAATTCATTTGTAATATCTATAGTTGTTTGTTATATAGTTTCATGCAAAAATAATGCATATTGTTATTTATTTTGATTCATTTTTAAATGCCACATACCAGCGGAAAAATGGCATTGCAGAAATAATTTTACCTCTAGTACCGATCACGTGATGAGCATAGTCATAAAATTCTGTGACCAAAGGCTAGATCACATGATTGTGATGACACAATAATCTTTTATTAATTATTTTAAATCATAACAAGTAAGTCAATATATAAGTATAATCTGCTTCGATGATGCAGAAATAATTATCAACACAACTTCACATAACTGGCAGTAAAAGTGTTGATGTGATTTTTAGATAATTTATTTACAGGGTTCATTATTTTTTAGATTACTTGTATCTCATCTTAATTTTGTAAAATCTGTGCCAATTCAACATTTTCAAAAATAAAAATAATTTTTTCTGAATTGGAAATGCCAGGAAATACCAAATGTTTTAGAAATCAAGCAAAAACATTCTGATTCTAATTTATAAATTTGTTCACAACTGTGTTATATCAAAATCATTATTTACTAAATTACATATCACAAAATTTCCAAAGGAACGAATTCTTTATGGGGGGATATAAACATTACTAGTAAATTCATATATAGAGATAGGTGTGAATACAAGTTGAGAAATTTCAAATTAGGATGATACATATTATTTAAAGCTGTGCTGTATACTGCAGAATCAATTAATCAAGACATAAAAATTAAATTATGAAAGTTGGGCAACTTCCCAAAAGGAAATGCTTTTAAAAAAATTATAAAACATTAAAAGCATATAATTGTGACAAATTTTTGCTAATTCCTTTGTTCCCCCAGTTGAAGAGCCATATTTCTGAATTATACAAAGGTAATTCTTCAAACTGGATACATTTAAAAAATTATAGAAAATGTCAGTAAAGGAAATGTATGTTAAAGCTAACATAAATAAAGAGTTTTAAAAGTGCAACAAAGTAAATTTTAAATATATATATATATATATATATTTATATATATATTGAATAATCATCAAGATATAACCTGCTCCGACGTGACCCCCCTTCCCCCCTTTTTTTTTTTAAATTCTTGAGTAAGAAAAAGAAAAATCAGAAGTTAAATAAAAAGTGATCTGTAAGCAGTTTAAAAAATTAATAAATAATTTGAATAATCTCTGGTGAATAAATTGAAAAGAATGTGCTAAATATACATATAAAACATAGTAAAAAGAATGTATACGGTCAAAAGTCGTTAATCCGGACTCGTCGGGACTTCGGCGATTCCGGATTATAGATCATCAGTTTAAATCTCGTAAGATGGCATGCAGAAATTCTAAAATTAAAAATATGAAACCGTAATTTATGAAATAAAGAACAATTATGATCTAAAGGGTATCAAAATTTACAAAAAAAAAAAAGCTTAATATTTATTTGTTTACTTTATTAAACATTTCTCTCAGTGTAAGTTGTTTAAGTTGCTTCATTTTATGTGATAATACTTTCTCTTTAATTCTATAAAAAGACATAATTTCTTGTTCAGTTACAAAGTTCCGCTGTTCAAGTCTCGTTAATTGCTGTGCCGAGAATACCGACTAACTTGTCAATCGAAATTTTTTCGTTTTCACTAACCTCTCTGTCACATTCTTCATGTCTTTATCCATTTTTTGCAGTAATTCCACTTTTTGTTTGTTGGACATCGAAACATACTTTCATTTTGTAGATCCTTTGGAAGTTCCAGCATCGGAAATTCTATTTGACATAATCGAAAGTTCAAGTTTACTTTTATAAAATTGCTCTTACAGTCTGCAAAAAATAATAAGCGGGATCCAATTCAAAGATTAAGGAATAACGCAATCATTAACATTAACTGAAATAGATAATTAGATCATTTTAGCTTACGCCGCAGATTATAGATTAAACGCGCAGGCGAAAACGTATTCTGCACTTGCGCACACGCATATGCGCAGTAGTCAAGGTCTTACGCACATGCGTAAAACGCATGTGCCAACGCGACGCATGCGCAGAAAGTTTTTAGCTTTGAGGTCCAGATTATAGATCATTCCGGATTATGGGTGTCCGAATTAACGACTTTTGACTGTATTTGGAAAAATCGAGAGCATTGTGCTAGGTAAATATTAGAAGCAGTGTCCTAACAAATATAAATAAAGAGCAGTTTGCTAAATAAATATAAAGGGCATTGTGATAAGTAAATATTAATTAAATTTTAAACATGTAAAAAGGCAGAACTGCTAAAAAACTTTATATGAACCACAGGCAACTGTTTTAAAATGAAAGTTATATCACTGAAATATATGTTAGGAAGTGGGAAAATAAAACTGAATTAATCATTTCCAATAAATTAATTTGAAAAAGAAAGTAAAACCTGAAGGAAAAAAAAATCTGTGTCACTGTAAAAAACCATGTGGTTTAATACAAGTGTGTAATACACACACATATTACAATTAATAGTAGAATTATACAATTTGTACAGTGGAACCTTGAGATACGAGTTTAATTTGTTCAGCACTGAGCTTGTATAGCAAATTTTTCGTAAATTTCCCCATTGAAAATAATTTAAATGAGATTAATATGTTCCGCACCCCCAAAAATATCAAGATAAAAATCAGTTTTTCTAATAATTAACACTGGTAAATAATGTAACCATAGTTTACCTTTATGAAGAGTCCTGACTGGTGATAGGGATGTGGCGAAGATGAAACAGGTTACTGTGGAGGAGAGTCCCCCTCTGATTCAGGAAAGCTTTCTTTTCTTGGGAATTTTAGCCCATTGGACGCAGGTTCCGGGTCAAAAACACTTAACTTTCTTTTAGTTACAAGTTGTTTACAAAAAATTTATCTAATAACCATTGCTTCTGTCTCCTTTTTTAAGATGATTGTAAAATGAGACACTATATTGCCACACAATGCTTTATTAGGGTAATTTTATTCAAGAAAAGTTTTCACTTCTTCCCACTTTGCCAACACTTCGTTAAT